ACAGGGTCTCACTGAGTTGCTGAGGCTAGCTTTGAACTCACAATCCTCCTGCTTCAGTCTCCCAAGGCACTGGGATTACAGGTGTGCACCACCATGCCCAGCTAAAGTGGAATATTTTGAGGTGGCATCTTCTGATCCATTTTACTTTGTCATACTTTTCAAATGCCAGGACCAGAAATCTAGCAAGCCCTGCATCAATAAAGCCTCCTTTTGCAGGTATAAGCAACCTCCGCTCTGGACTGTGGGTAAAGCACTTGCCTAGCATGCATGAAGCCCTGGGTTCAATCCTCAGCAAAAAAATAAAAAATAAAAATTCACTCAAATTTAGCCCCCAGAGTGATTCTCAGACCCAGAGTAATCACAGTACCTGGCCTGTTTACCTACATCCACTTCTTCAGGACATCCAAGAGGAAACCCATAGATGATGCTCCTAAACTTGGGAGGCAGCTACAGAAGCCATATCTCAGGTGATTGTTAAGATCCACCCCCATTCCTTGACAAGAATTTATGCTTTGTGAGTCCTTACTGCCCTCTCTGTGAACTGCTCCCCACTAATAGGTCTGAGATCCGGTAATTAATTTAGTAGCATGTGTCTTAATGTTCCCTTTACCTGGCTGGTAGGCCTTAAGGAATGGACCTGTGGCCAGAAAAGCCAACGTAGACCCTGAGCCCAGACAAGCAGATTTTCTCCTTCTGTGAATTTGGAATTGAGATGGGGATAGAAGGTTAAGATATAGTAGCTAGGGCTGGGGATGTGGCTCAAGCGGTAGCGCGCTCGCCTGGCATGCATGGGGTGCTGGGTTCAATCCTCAGCACCACATAAAAATAAAATAAAGATGTTGTGTCCACCAAAAACTAAAAATTAAATATTAAAAAAATTCTCTCTCTCTTAAAAAAAAAAAAAAAAGATATAGTAGCTATGCACTGGGGATATAGCTCAGTTGGTAGACTGCTTGCCTTGCATGCATAAGGGCCTGGGTTCAATCCCCAGCACCACACACACACACAAAAAAAAGATCTAGTAGCTACAATCACTGGACCTGGAAGGTCAGGCAGAGTAAGCAGGTCTGGGGAGAGAATGTAATAGATAGTCCAAGATGTCCATAATCCAAGATGTCCAGGCCTTCAAGAGATGACACTCAAATCTCTAGTTCTTGACTCAACAGTCTCAGCTTTCTGAGACTAAGGTCTGGCTGTACTTCCTGGGATTGCATTGCATAATGGGTGGGTCCCCTTTTACCAAGTAATTCCAGTGTTTCTGTTACTTAGAACCAAAAGATGACTAAAATACTGACTTTTTTTTTATAACTTGTCCAAGTTATAAAACTTGTCCAAGTTATAAAAAGTTTCTTCAGGGCCTGTGTACTGACTCTGGCTTCCATCCTGGAGTTCAGATCTTGAATGACAAGTCTCCCATGGGCAGAAGTCCTAGGGCAGCTCCCCCCAGAACTCAGTCCATAATTCCTTACATCTGGAACTGTGTTCCAGCCCAAACAGTAAACCATATGGTAGCTGCAGATCCCTTCCCAGAAGTAATAATAATGATAGCTGCCATTTATTGAGTGTTCATCCTGTGTCAGACATGATGTTATAATAATTTCTAGCCCTTAAAACAAGAGTTGGAGCCAGAAACAGTGGGCACATGCTTGTAATCACAACTATTTGGTAGGCCGAGGCAGGAAGACAGCAATTTCAAGCCTAGCCTGGGCAACTTAGTGAGAACATCTCAAAAAGTAAAAAGGGTTGAGGATGTAGCTCAGTGGTAGACAACTCCTGGGTTCAATTTCCCAGGACCCACAAAAAAAGAAAACCAAACAAATTAAAAAAAAAAAAAAAAAACTAAGTTGACTAAGTTGGCTTTAAATATTTTTTATTATTATCTAAATTAAATATACATGGTAATCAAAGTAAGTATAAATGTCTATGGCTTATAAGCTTTCTATAAATTTCTATAAATAGGAAGCCAAAAAAATTGCCAACCCAAACTATTAAAATTGATAAAAAAAAAAAAAAAAAAAAAAGATTTGATGTTGCCTGTTAGTATTTGGCTGAATTAAATTGCGGATACTGAACTGATTAAAAACAAAGCAAGTTGGGCACTGTGGCACATGCCTGTGATCCCAACAACCCGGGAAGCTGAAGCAGGAGTATCACAAGTTTGAAGAGAGTCTGGGCAACTTAGTAAGACCCTCTCTTAAAATAAAATTTTAAAAAGGTTAAAAAATTTTAAAAAGGTTGTGGCTCAGAGGTAGAGCACCTACCTAGCATGTGTAAGGTACTGGGTTCGATCCTCAGCACCACATAAAAATAAAATGAAGATAGTGTGTGCACTTATAACTGAAAAGTAAATATTTTAAAAAAAAAATTAAAAAGGGCTGGGGATGTAGCTCAGTGGTAGAGCTCCCCTGAGTTCAATCCCCTGCACAAGGAAACAAAGCAAAACAAAAACCACAATTCCCTATGACTCCATTGTAGATGAGAAAACAGATTCCTAGAGAGGTGAAACATGTTTCCTGATGTCAAATAGCTAGGTGTTAAAAAATCAACCAGGATAACTGATGAATGCTACTACTTGAATTTAAGGTCTAATTACCAGAGTCTCTGGTTGCTCCTTCATTTAAATGATAGCTAATGAATGGGCAGAGACAGATCTTGTGTTTTCTAAAACTACTCAAGGCCTGGGGCAGGTAAGTAGTTGTGGAAAGATTTGTTGAATGAATGATTGAATGAGTGGATTTGGAGATAGTTATTTAAGAAACAGTTGGCTCCTAGACCATAACTCAGAACTCTCCATTTACCATTGCTGCTAGTAGCCCTTCCCACCTTGCTACCCAGAAGCTAGTCTAATGGCATTAACCATCTCAGCCAGTCATGATACCATTAAAAGCTTCAGTCTAGCTACTGTGCCCCCACCCCGGTCTTGGCTCTGGGCCCTGGGCTGGTCTGGTTGTTTACCAGCAATCTGGACCTTCTTCAGAGAAAAGCATAGATGACCTATTAGTCTAATTCAAGCACTTAGCAAGGAATGTCTGTATTGTTCACACCCCCAGCCCCAAGCTAATGGAACCAAGCAAATAGAAAAGCCTTGACTCTCAGAGATCTTCCTGGGAGGGGAGGAAGGAGGAAGAAAAGTGGACCCAGTGCCCCACTGGAGTTTGTAGGGAGGTAACTTGGCTGAGCATTTCCTGGGGCTGGGCAGGCTATGGGGATACAAGAATGCACAGGGAGAGGCTTGCCCATTCCACCCATCACTCTGGCAACTCTTATACATATCCCATTCCCAGTTACCTCCCTCACTGCCTTAAAACTTGGCTCGAGAAAAATGCAGAGTAACATGGTTTGTCCTGGAAAAAAATCATATTGAAGTGTAATCCCATTGTGAGATATTAAAAGGGTAGAACTTTTGGGAGGTGATTAGGATTAGATAAAGTCATCAAGGTGGAGCCCCCATGATTGAATACTGGTAACTTTATGAGAGAGAGAGAATGTGCACAAGAGAGAGACACAGACATACATGTGTGCTCCGTGTCTCTCTTGCCTTGTGATACTCTGTGCTACCTTGGGACTCTGCTAGTGAGAAGGCCATCACAAGATGTGGCCCCTCAACCTTGGACCAGAATCATAAGCCATAAGTTTGTTTTTTGATGCTGGGGATTGAACCCACTGAGCCACATTCCATCCTCAGCCCTTTTTATTTTTTGTTTTGAGACAGTGTCTTGCTGAGATGCTGATGGTCTAAGTTGTTGAGGTTGACCTCAAACTTGAAATCATACTCTTTTTTTTTAAAATTATTTTTCGGTTTTAGATGGACACAATTTTTTTTTTTTTTTTTAGAGAGAGAGAGAGAGAATTTTTTAATATTTATTTATTTTTTTTAGTTCTCGGCGGACACAACATCTCTGTTTGTATGTGGTGCTGAGGATCGAACCCGGGCCGCATGCATGCCAGGCGAGCGCGCTACCACTTGAGCCACATCCCCAGCCCCTGGACACAATATCTTTATTTTACATTTATGTGGTGCTGAGGATCAAACCCAGGGCCTCGCACATTCTAGGGGAGCACTGTACCACTGAGCCACAACCCCAGCCCCGAAATCTTACTGTCTTAGCCTCCTGAGTCACTGGAATTACAAGCATGTGCCACCATGCTCAGCTTCTTTCCTTTTTTTAAAAAAAAATATTTTGAAAGCTGAGACTTAGTGAGACCCTGTCTCAAAATAAAAACAAAATTTAAAAAGGGATGGGAATGTGACTCAGTGTTTAAATGCCCCTGGTAAAAAGTCTTTTGAGATAGGGTCTTGCTACATTGAACTCATGATCCTTCATGCTCAGCCTCCCAAGTAGCTGGGATTACAAACATGTGTCACTGCACCCAGTCCCATAGTACTACAAATAAATTCTTCTAACTGCATGGGTGGGTGTTTCCTTACTCCAATAGGATTACAAATTTCCTGAAATCACGGGCCAGTCTCTGCTTTTCTCTGGCCCCCAATATAATCTGGAGCAGGTGCTTAGTAAATGCTGTGGTGACTAAGGGCCCCCATCTCAGGTGCTGTGGCAATCACATATAGAATCCCAGAAATGGCTAAAATTGGGATGGATACAGGTCTATAGCCCCCTCTAAGCTATTTTTCATTCCAATTCATGTCAAGAACACAGGGGCTGAGGGGCTGGGGATGTGGCTCAAGCGGTAGCGCGCTCGCCTGGCATGCGTGTGGCCTGGGTTTGATCCTCAGCACCACATACAAACAAAGATGTTGTGTCCGCCAAAAACTAAAAAATAAATAAATAAATATTTAAAAAGAACACAGGGGCTGAGAGCCTTGCCTGAAATCATATAGCAGTTGTGTCTCTTCACCATCTGGCCTGTATCCTTATATCTATAACATCCCAAATTATGGAAAAATTCAAAATTTGATAAAATGGGAAAAGAGCATAAGTCTTGGGTCAAAATGTTTAATCATGATCCAAGAGGTCAGGGCGCTTTAGAACAGCAGTAGGAATAAAGCAAGGACCAAAGGCTTCAGCTCCTGATTTCCAAATGTTCTCCAGGATCCCAGGGCAGAGCAGGGCAGGCAGAAGGTTTCCATCCTCCATTCAAAGGAAGGAACAAGGGGTCAGGAGTATTGCTCCAACCTTCTTCACAAGAAAAATGTCTTTCTAGGCTGCCTCAGAACTTTCAGCCCTGCCTACCTGAAGAATGCAATAAGGAATGACTGATTTGTTAGACTCTGGATGATTATGGGTGGATGGGAGAAAGGAAGGAGAGAGCCTAGTGGAGCTGGTCACCACCAGAAGACATGGCTAAATGATAGCCATTAAATCCTAAGGAGGGCAGCCTGAGTCAGAAATGAGGATAAAAGTGGTGGAGGAATGAGGTTAGCTAGTTAGGATCTGGAGGTCATAGCCAGTAGCATCTACTATGGCCTCATCTGGAGCCAACTGCAAGTTCCAGGTAGGGTTGGGGCTGCCATGTTGTGCACTGCACCTCCTCTGGATGCTGTTCTTTTTTCACCCTTCATAGGTTGCAATCAGGCTGGGTGTGGTAGTGAGGAAGAAGGCCTCTGGGTAAAATTCAGCTACCAGAGGCTCCAAAGTAGAATCAAGGTAAATGTACAGGAAAAAAGAAAGGGCATCCAGGGCTGTAGCCTCAGAGCAGAGTTTTTCTGTGAAAGAAATGGAATAGAGTTCTTTTAGGGAGCTATCTTTACCTCTCTTCACTACCTCAGCCTCAGTTAAGACTGCCCCCTGCCCCTGAGGTGTCCATTAGAGGTCTATAGAATAAGTGCACCCATCCCTTTGTTTTCTTAGTTTGAGTTTTCCCCAGCTGGTCAGTAAACGTTTAAGGGGTACAGCAGAAGAGGCCCTACCTCGTGCTCCATCACAGAAAAGGTGGCGTCTTCCCAGTCCTGGGAGAAAAGCTGGCTATGATAACGCATCTTAGCTGTAATGGCCTCCACTGAGCAGAGGAAAGAAGGAAGATTGGAAAGACATGGTGGAAGCAGATTCCTAGACTCCCAAGGCAGGAAAGGGAATGCCATGGGACCCTGGGATCTAGGGGAACACATGGGTAGGAATATCTCCTTCTGCTTGCTTGTTCCTCAAGCTGGAGATGTCTCAGGAGCCCAGACAGGTTGGTTGAACAGGCAGTGTTGGGGGTTACTCAGAGAGGGGCAGAAGGAAGAAAGGCTGGGGCTGGGGATATGGAAGTTAAAATAGAATTGGGCTGCTCTGAGGAGATGGATGAAACCAATCTGGGCCAGAGTTGACCCCCTCCTATCACCTAGGCTTTAGCTAATCCAACCCAGGGGCTGAGAGCAAGAGTACACTCACTGAGGCAGGGGTTGTGGGAGAAGGACCTCTCCAGCCCTTCACACTCCTCCTGCAGGTTGCCACTGCCTCGGCAGGTGCAGCTTAGGGCAACACTAGTGTTGATGTTGCTGATGAAGTTGGGGGTCATGGCAGTTCCTGTGGGATGAAAAGGGGAAGCAGTTGTCAGGGCCCAGGCTAACCCTCCTTTAGCTCCAACCCTCTCCCACCCATCTCAGGACCACACCATCTGGGTCTTCAGAGTATTCTCACCTTTAGGGTGAGCCCATCCTGTGGGTTCTCTACATATGCCCCAGCCTCACCAATCAGCCCCAAGTATGCTCGCAGACATCTGGACTGTTCTGTTGCACAAGTCCCCAGGATGTCCATAGGATGGCAGTGGGTCTGGAAATCTACCAGGCGTGATCTGGAAGAAAGGAAAAAAAAAAAATTTTTTTTTTTTTTTTTTGGCAGTTCTGAAGGGGGTACTCTACCACTGGGCTACACCCCTAGTCCTTTTTATTTATTTATCTTAATTTTGAGACAGGGTCTAAAAATCACAATTTTGAAGACTTGTGATCCTCCAGCCTCAGCTTCCAAAGTAGCTGGGATTAGAGACATAAGCTACCATGCCTGGCTCAAGAAGGGAAATTTCAAGAGTCCCCAATGAAGATCTGACCTGCAGCCTTTATCCTTGCTGCTCTTTAGCCTGGCAAGCTCATTGTCACCCCAATTCCTCCTCTGCTTTCAGTGCTTGGTCCACCCCAACTTCTCCTCAGTGGAGCCTGCCCCTGTCACTTTTAACCCAGGGCCTTCAGCACATCACTCTGAATTTAGGCTTCATAATCTCTAATTATGAGATCTTAGACAGCTTCTTTCACCCCAGTTTCCTAGACTGTAAAATAGGATAAAAGCACAACCTGGCAGATTTTCATTGATGAAATAAGAGAATGCATGTATCACATCCAGCATAGTGCCTGGCACATATTGTTTAATAAATGTTAGATATGAGCTGGGTGTGGTGGCATGTGCCCATAATCCCAGTGTCTCAGGAGGCTGAGGCAGGAGGATTACAAATTCAAGGCCAACCTTGGCAATTTAGCAATACCCTGCCTCTAAATAAAAAATAAAAAGGGCTAAGGATATAGCTCAGTGGCAGAGCAGCCCTGGGTTCAATCCCTAGTACTGCTAAATAAATAAACAAATATTAGATGTTATTATTATTACTATCATTTGTGGTTCTGGAGATAGAACCCAGGGACTCGCACATTTTAGGCACTGAAGTATACTAAAATTTTTAAATTTTATATTGAGACAGGGTCTTGATATGTTGCACAGGTTGGTCTGGAACTTTTGATCCTTCTGTCTCAATTTCCCAAGTAGCTGGGACTACAGGTGTGCACCACAGTACCCAGCCAGATATTATTATTAACATTCATCCCACAATACATAAGGCTAGTTCTGTTTGGGTGATGTAATTGTGGGTGTTTTTCTTTCTATATGTTTTTCTGCAGTTTTCAATACATTTCTGTTTGGGTCAATGGTTTACTTCTCTGTCACCTCCACTCTACTATGAACTCCTTGAAGATAGAGATAATATCTTAGCCATCTAACCTAGTACCTGTTATATAATAGTATTAGCTACTAGTGTAGTAATAGGCAGTACAGCAGAATAGTTAAAAGCATAGACTCTAAGTCAGACCTAACCTACTAGCTGTGTTCCCTGTGTACCTATTAGTGGTTATTTAACCATTCTTTGCTATGGTTTTTTCATTTGTAAACTGAGGATGATTAAAACAAGAGCATCTATCTTACAGAGTTCTTATGAGGCTTATAAGAGTTAATACATGTTAAGTACTTAAATCAATATCTGGCTCATAGGAAGTACTTAGTAAATGCTAATATTCTGATTATAGAGAGCCTTGACTTTGCAGATAAGGAAAGTAGTAATCAAAGAGGTAAAGCTACTTTCCTTACTGCATCACCTGTCACAAAAAAGTAAGCAATAGATCTAAGTTGTATACCATGGTTGGTATGACATTTATTGTCAAAAAATGTTATTTGAACAGATGATAAGTTCAATTTGTTGTTTTGTACTGAGAAGACACAGGAAAACCAGATTGTAATTTCAGATTTTCAGTGCCTAGCATTTGTGAGGCTCTGGGTTCAAATCCCAGCAATGAAATGCAAACCTCCCTACATAAATACATGGAGTTCTTAAAGGACAATAAATGACAAAATTAGCATTACCATTTATTGAGGACTTAACTCTGCCCCAGTAGGCTAAGTACTCTACATAAGTAATATAACCATGATTAGAGGTCTGTATTATTATTCCAGTTTTTGTAGAGAACTAAAAGTGATGGCTTGCCCTTCACATCTGGTTTGAGCATGTCCAGCTTGCTGAGATTCATTTTCCAGGATTTTCTAGTCACTGGGTCTTCATTTCATTTTTCCAGAAAAATAACTGGAAGCAAATGCTTACCAAATTATGGTAGATTATCTTTAGGTGAGGGAATTTTGAATGGTATTTTTTATATAGGCCTGTGTCACTGTGCCCATAAGTGGTATTTTTTATACAAGTTTATGTTTTCTGAAGTTATTACACAAAGGAGGTTTTGTTATGTTTCCCAGGTTGGTCTGGAACTCAGACGCAAGGAGTCTTCCTTCCTCAGCCTCTGAGAGCTGGGACTACAGGTGTGACCATCGCACCAGGTCAAAAGCTATAATCCTTTAAATATGAGTTTCACAAAATATCCAAGGCGAAGCGCCTTGTGGGTCCACTGTTTCCTGAGGGCAGTTAGATCCAACCGGTGCAGGAAGGTGGCCAGAAGGAGTGGAACATGTCACACTCACGCCCATCCTACAGCCCAGACCCTGCACCTACCTGCACAGCGGATCCGTGAAACAGAGGCTCTGCAAATCCAGACAGTTGGGGGCCTCAGTTGGCAGTGCGCAGCTGGGAGCAATAGTGTTGCGCCTACGCTCCCCACAGCCGCGGTCAGTGGGCAAGCAGGGGCACAGCAGCAGGCCCTGCGCATGAGGCTCAGAGGCCCTCTCAAAGAAGGAGCGCAGCTGTCCAAGGCAGACTTGGCGCTGGCAGCGGTGTCCTGAACAGGCCTCCCCGTAACCCTTGCGTAGCCGGTCACACTTCTCATTAAGAGTACACAGCATAGCAAACTTGAGGCAGAGATCGGAGTCTGTGGGGAAGAAGGGCACTAAATCACTAGACCACATCCTTTCTGCATCACCTGTAGTTCAGTATCCCTAAGGAACCCCAGCAAACCCAATTTAACAAGGAAGAAATGGGGGTAGGAGGAAAGGGAGGACTTGAATAAATCCTGAATAAAGCTACTGCTATTCAAGGTTTTCTCTCTCCCCACAAACTCTATCTGGTACTGTGAAGCCTTTTCTACTCTGTTCCTTATCTTGACTAGGTAAACATCATCCATCATCATCATCATCATTATCATCATCATCTCTATATATCTAATAACCACTTATCTAGAACCAAGCATCCACAAAGTTCAAATAACCAAAATACTTCCTTCAATGCTGTGCAGTATGATCCGACGGTGAAAATCATAACCTATAGAGGTCTTGCAACATTCCATAGCAGTTTTTGAACTGCTGGAAACAAATGCAACTAAATTCTATTTAGGTTTGGTTTATACCTTTTTATTCAGTTTTACTATTACCTACCCTTCATTCATCTAATGATTCATGCATAAAGTTTCTTTTCCAAGTCTTGGAAAAGTATGGCGATATTTCCTCCTTTTTCCTTTCTTTTTTTCAGGACTCAGTGTAGGTTCCTAGGAATCAAATCCAGGGAACCTAGGGCTTCATGCATGCTAAGCATGTACCTTACTGCTAAGCTCCATCACTAGCTGCCTGATGATTTTTCTATAAAAAGAATATTTCAGCCCCAGAACAACTAAATAACTTAAACAGGTCATTCACTGATTCCTTGTAACTAAGAGTTTGCCATGTATAAATCTCTAGTTTTCCCTTGAAATTCTAATACATAAAACTAGCTATACAACAAAGCTCGCTTCAAAATTCTAATTTTTACAGAATTGACCATACAACAAAGCTTTCTTCTCCTCAAAAAATAGTGCATATATGTGTGTTCTTTTTCAATTAACTTTCGACCTTACACTCCTGAAAAAACATGCATTGTAGTCCTTGCCAGGCTGATGGCTCTCCACCCTAAGTCACCCCTGTGGGGAGTCAAAACCTCATTATTTTCTCTGCCCAACACCTCGCCCATCCCATTAGAATGGTTGAAAACAATTTTCTAGTCTTTATGGACAAAAAGGCTACTTTCCTTGCTGTGTCTAAATATTCCATTTCTGTACTTTTCTTTCTGTAACTACTGCCACTCCCACCATCCTCTTTGTAGGGACCAGGGGGGCCTAATGGGTTTTCTCTGAATGCCTGCCTAATAATTGTTATTTTTTTTGATGACTCCCGTGAAAGCAGACCACGCAACACAACTCAGACTTCTACGCTGACACAGTGTTTATTCAGTCACCTGGCAGGCTAGAAACTTACTCTGTAAGCCCCTAAGTTTGTGCTTCCCCCAGCCACCCTTCCCTCGGCCCAGCTCAGCCTCCCACTTCCCAGTTTCCCATCTTAGGCTTGCCTTCCACACCTGGTTTGAGTATGTCCAGCTTGCTGAGATTCATTTTCCAGGGTTTTCTAGTCACTGGGTCTTCATAGGGGGAGACATCCAGTTCATAATCACCTAAAAACAAGGTAGGGAGCACCAGAATGCTAAGGACCTGGGAGGGGTGGGAGCAGAAGGGGCTCAGGCTGCTGGGTCAGACCTCAAGCTCTATGCAGCAAAGGAAAAGGCACAACCTATAACTAGCTGCAAGGTATTCAAAGGTAAGAAAAATGCAGAGCCATAAAGATTTGGGTTGTGCTGGACATGGTGGGGCACACCTGTAATCTCAGCGGCTTGGGAGGCTGGGACAGGAGAATGGCGAGTTCAAAGCCAGCCTCAGCAATGGTGAGGCACTAAAGCAATTCCATGAGTCCCTGTCTCTAAATAAAATACAAAATAAGGCTGGGGTATGGCTCAGTGGTCGAGTGCTCCTGAGTTCAATTCCCGGTACCAAAAAAAAAAAAAAAAGATATGGATTTGGCCCAACAAATAAACTGATAAGAATAGAAGCCTTTGGGTAGGCAAAAAGAAATTGAGGAGGAGAGAGGTTTAATTGTTACTTGCCGAGATATGAACTCTGAACTATCTGATTCTGGTAAGTAGGAGTTCAGGGACATCAAGATGGTGGAGACAGGGTATAAGAAAGATGCCACTGGGGGCTGGGGTTGTAGCTCAGTGGTAGAGAGCTTGTCTAGCATGCATGAAGCACTGGGTTTGATCCCCAGCACCACACAAACTAAATAAACAAAATAAAGGTGTTGTGCCCATCTACAACTAAAAAAATATTAAAAAAAAAAAAAGATGCCACTGGACAAGACAGGGAGATAAGTCATGTTTCTGTTTATAATAAGTCCCATTACTATGACAACTCCTGACACTGAGGACTTATCACCATGACAACTCCTGCCCAGGTTCAATATTTTAAAAGGACCAATGGTGGTAAAGTAGGCAGTATTCTAATTAGGTTTCTAAAGTAACCAATGCTGTGGGGGGTGATTAGAGAATATTCTAATCAGGTATCATAAGGTAACCAATAGGAGCAAACAGGGTAAGGTCTTCAATTTGGTCTGTATAGGAAAGAGAATGACTCACAGCCCAGCAGCTGATTTCCAGACATTGGGACCTGAGCCTTTCTCTCGGTCAGCCCACTCTTCTCTACCTTATGGAGTGCTATCTTCACCTGTAATAAATCTGTTATTTTCCTGCTATTTCTGTGTCTGTCTTTCTTTTTCTTTTTCTTTTTTTGGTACCAGAGACCCAGAGTCACTCAACCACTGAGCCACATCCCCAGCACGTTTTTGTATTTTATTTAGAGGCAGGGTCTCACTGAATTGCTTAGGGCCTTGCTAAATTGCTGAGGCTGGCTTTGAACTTGCTATCATCCTGCCTCAGCCTCCAGAGCCAATGGGATTATAGGCTTGTGCCAGCATGCCCAGATGCTTCTGTATGTCTTCCTCAATTCTCTGTTTGGGACACCAAGGACCTGGATCCCAACTGGATACTCCAACAAAAACAATTTCAGAGTTTCTGGATCCTAGCTCTCAGACACATTGTGTGTTTGGAATCAGGCAAGGGAACTCTGCCTTGTTTTCTCTTGCTATTATAGAAGGGACAATGGGGTACTCTGCTACAGGCCTGAATGCTTGGCTATGGAGATGTATAGCATTCTGGAGAAACAGAAGTGAGGCCAGGCACTAACCAAGAAAAACTGAGAAAAAAAAAAAAGAGAGAAAATGATCTCAAAGAATATGCATCTTTCTCAGATACCCACAAGGGACTGCAGACTCCTTAAGGTCTTATCAAATCAGTGTATTGCCCCTATGCTTGGGAGGGGCTCAATAAATATTGGCTAATAAATCTTGTTGGAAGAGAGATGAGAAAGATAAGCTTGCAGGAATGTCATCCAAGAAGATTTTGTAAATGCATCTTCAGGTGGGCAGGTATATGGATGTTATCAGGCAAACAAGAGAGGATGGGCTAGATATATCAGAAGACCTGAGAGCTCCAAAGAGGAAAGAAAACAGAGAAACAAGAGAATCCTGGAAGAAGTCTCTGGGGAAGTCAAAAAAGAGAAGAAATTAGGAGTAGGAAACAGAGAACAAGTGGTGTGGTAAAATTGTTTTATCGTTCAATTATTTGTCCCCCACACTATGGGAGGATTATACCTCCCTATCTGTTGCCATGTGACTTTTCACAGCCCTTGTGGAGCGTACTTCAATGTCAGTCAGGCTTGGCCCCGTGATTTGCTCTGGCTGGTGGACTATAAATTGAAGTGATGTAAATCACATCTAAGCAGAGCTTTTTTTTTTGCTACTGGGGTTAAACCCAGGAACCCTTACCCACTGAGCCACATCTCCAGTCCTTTTTCTAATTTATTTTGAGATAGGGTCTCACTAAGCTGATCTAAGTTGCTACTTTGATCTTGGAATCCTCCTGCCTCTTCCTCCCAAGTAGGCATGCACCACTGTGCCCAGGCTGAGCAGAAACTTTAAGAACCATCACATTGCCAGGTATGGTAGCACATGCCTATAATCCCATCAGCTTAAGAAATTGAGGCAGGATTGCAAATTCGAGGCCAGTCTCAGCAATTTCATAAAGGCTTAAGCAACTTAGTGAGGCCCTGTCCAAAATAAAAACTGAAAAGGTGGGGGATGTGGCTCAGTGGTTCAGTCCCCAATACCAAAAAAAAAAAAGAACCATTATATCGTTATTACTTTTTCCTCTCTTAATTTGAATGAAGACAATAGATAGAACAGAGAAAAATCCAATGCTTGAAAGTCTGCAGCACATATATAAAATGAGCAAGAAATAAATGTTTATTGTTAAAAAAGAGATGGGGATGGGGTGGGATGGTTGTAACTAAAGTTTAACCTAGCAAATTCTTATTAGAAATGCAATCAAGGAGGGGCTGGGGCTGGGGTTCAGCGGTAGAGCGCTCGCCAAGCATGTGTGAGGCCCTGGGTTTGATCCTCAGCACCACATAAGAATGAAATAAAGATAATGTGTCCAATTACAAATAAAAAATAATAAATATTTAAAAAAAAAGAAATGCAATCAGGGAGAAGGGTATGGCAGCATACACCTATAATCCCAGCAATTTGGGAGGCTAAGGCAGGAGGATTGCAAGTTCTGGGCCAATCTCAGCAATTTAGCGAAACTCAGTCAAAAATAAAAAGTAAAAAAGATTGGAGATGTAGCTTAGTGGTAAAGTGTCCCTGGGTTCAATCCCTAGTACCAAAAACAAAAAAGCAACTGGAGGCTGGGTATAGTGACACACACACCTGTAATCCCAACAATTTGGGAGACTGAGGGAAGAGGATTGCAAATTTGAGTTTAGCCTCACTAACTCAGAAAGACTGAGTGAGAAACCACTCAAAATAAAAAATAAGAGCTGGGGTGTAGCTCAGCGGTAAAGTGCCCCTGGTGTTCAATCCCCAGTACCCCCAACACACAAAAGCAATGCAATTAGGGCGTTGGGAAGTGTTGCTCAGTGGTCGAATGCTGCTTAGTACTCTTGAGGCCCTGAGTTTGATTCCCAGTACCACAAAAACAAAACAAAGCAAAACAAAAACAATTGGGGTAAGGGGAAGAAAAAATGCAATTTTTACCTAGAGGTAGATTGCTCTAGGAACAAAAATCCAAATATGTAGCAATTCTTTGGGACTGGGCAGTGGATAGAGAAGAAGGTTTCTGGGGGCTGGAAAAATGGTAGTCTTCATTATGCAGTAACAAAGCATTTGGTAAATTATTTCCCCCAATAATTTGGAAGGAAGATGAGTTTATGCTGAACGAACTTGTGTTTTAAGGGGAAGAAGCCAAAAAGCAGAAGGTTACTAGTGTGTCTTGATTGCTACTGGCTGCATTTGGCAAGGTATTAAGAGAAAAACAGAAGCTCAGAAAAGAATTGGCCAGTTTAGCAGATAGGCATGGTGGTGCCTGTCTGCAGACCCAGCTACTGGAGAGGCTGAGGCAGGAGGATTCCTTGAGTCCAGGAGTTCAAGACCAGCCTGGATGTAGTGAAAAAGTGTCTTGACAAAATAAAAAATAAAAGAATTGGCTGGTTTGCAAGTAGGGAGGATATGGACAAAAGAATCCAGAAATTCCAAGACTTGAAGGATTAAGAGATGCAGCAACTATATCTCATATTCAAATGGTAAAAGATAAAATTGAAAATGCTTTGAGTGATAAAGTTGATAACAATCAGGCTTGGGGGAAAGACCAAATTAAGTATGTGGATATACTGGAGTTTATAAAGATTTCTCAATTGATTAAGATGGTACCAAATAGATCTGCCAGTTGGACAAATGTACTCAGGGAAAGAAAACTAAAGTAGTGACTCTCCCATAGAGGTCTGATAGGGACAGGGAACTTCTAATTAGGTTTAGAAAGAGGTGCATGTCTTGTAGGAAAGGCTACTGGCACATGAGATGAAGGAATCAAAGATATAAAAAGCAATTACTTTTTGAGAGACTTGTACTTCTAACAGCTAACAGCCTGGATTAAAAGAGACTGTGACTATTTGAGGCTTAAAATGCCCCAACATTCCTCAGACAGGAAATAGATAAGAATGCTTCTCCAGTCCCAGAGGTTGTAGTCTCCAATGCCCTTTTCAAATGTGGTAAAGAGAATAATGGAAAAGCCAGGATCTCCCAGAGGGTTGAGCCAAGAACCTTGAAGAACAATGGATAGGGCAGCTACTCCCACAGAGGAAAAAAAAAAAAAAAAGGGTGAGTGGTGGGGGGTCTTCTTATAGAATAAGCCTGGGTTGGAAAAGTGGTCAGTGGATGATTACTTGCCTGGCATGTGTGAGACCCTGGGTTTGATCCCCAGAGAAGAGGACCCTTGCAAAATCTGCCTAGCAAAATTTTAGAATTCTTCGAATCAATGTCTGCTGTGTGCCTCTCATTCCTTCCCATTCTGAAAGTGTTTGTTGTAGTTATCCTGAGCCTGTTCTATTATTGTACACTGAGTATGTATGGGAGGCAAATGACCTTTTTAGTTCATAAAGATAAACTAGGGGGTCTGGAGTTGTAGCTCAGTGGTAGAGTGCTCGCCTAGCATGCGTGAGGCACTGGGTTCAATCCTCAGCACCACATAAAAATGAAATAAAGATATTGTGTCCACCTCCAACTAAAAAATAAATATTAAAAAAAAATATAAACTAGGGTTAGGCATGGTGGCACATGCCTGTAATCCCAACAAATCTAGAGGCTGAGGCAGGAGGATCATAAGTTTGAGGCCAGTCTCAGCAACTTAGGGAGACCCTATCTCAAACTACAACCAAACAAACAAACAAAAAATATAGAAACTATCATGAGATCCTAAGATCCTAGACTTAGAGCTTGATGTCATGTTCTGATAGAATTTTTAGGACATCTTCCTTGGAAAATTAGGTGGGTATATATTACTTGTGGAAGGAGGGGAAATTAATATTTTTATCAAGCTGTAAACTGTGGTAAATTGTATTATTGTTTCCAATTATTCTTTGCCCTCCCTATAAGATTAAATGTCTTCACTTATTGTCATGTGATTTATTTATTACTTTTTAATTTTTTTGCTACTGGGAATTGAACCCCAGGAATGCTTTACCATTAAGCTATATATCTCCAGGCCTTTTTGAGACAGGGTCTCACTAAGTTGCTAAGACTGATTCAAACTTGCAATCTTCCTGCCTTGGTCTCCTGAGTTGCTGGGATTATAGGTATGTGCCACCAGGTCCAGTTTTGCCATGCTATTTTTTTATTTCTCCCTATGGGAGGAGTATACTTCCCTAATCTAGTGATGTGAGGCTTGGTCAGATTATTTTCTCTTTGGAATTTGTAACATTTGAGCAGGGTTCTGATGTTGTTGTTTTGGTACTAGGGATTGAACACAGAGTGCTCTACCATTGGGCTACAATCCCAGCCCTTTTTATATTTGAGACAGGTGATCACTAAGTTGCAAGGCTCAAACTTGTGATCCTCATGCCTTAGCCTCCTAAGTAGCTGGTATCATAGGTGTGTGCCACCATGCCTGGCTTAAACAGAGGCTTTTAAAAGCATTGTATGGTTTACCAATGCTCATTTCCTTCACCATGAGAAGGGAACATCCCACAAAAGGCTGTGCCTTTAGCCTGGATCCCAGAATAACAAAGACACATGAAAACAGTCAGCTCAGAACATGAGCAAGAACTAAATCTTTGTTTTGCAAGATAGTCCAATAAAAGCTGATTAATAAGGAAAAAGGCCTATAGAAGGGGTCAAAGGTAGCGCTTCTCTTTGGCTTTTTTTGTGACTTTTATCATCCATCTCCAGTTCTGTTAATCATATCATTTCTGCTAAAGGCTGGCCTGAGATGATACCACTCAGTCTCTGAACTTGTGGATTACATGATATTTGGAGTTAAAACTGCTTTTCTCTACTCCTCTCTGTATCTTTCTGCTCTAGGAACTCCCCAGGTTGAGCCTGTGCCTGGTTTAGAACTCTGTCAAGAGGAAACCACAGGTAAAAAAAGAGGAAAAAGTGAGGGCAGTGTTTTGAGGGCCCAAAGGGACACTGCCAGTTTTTCCCTCCATCTCTTACTGGTGCCAAATGCAGAGGTTCATTGTCATCCCCATCAGAATCTACCATGTGGCCCATATCCTGCAGAACTGAAAAACAACTCCCAAAGTGGGGCACACTTGTAATCCCAGGAAGCTGAGGCAGGTCCTGCCTCAGCCTGGGCAATTTAGTAAGACTGTTTCAAAGTAAAAAGGGCTGGGGATATCGCTCAGTAGTAGAGTGCCTCTGGGCTCAATACCCAGTAGTAAACAAAACAGATGGCTGGGGATATAGCTCAGCTGGTAGAATGTTTGCCTTGCATGCACAAGGTCCTAGGTTCAATCCCTAGCACCACATTAAAAAAAAAAAAAAAAAAAAAAAAAGCAATGCTCAGGTTTAGGTATATACATCAAATATAATTTTTTTATTTTTTAGTTGTAGCCATTTATTTATCTTTATTTATTTATGGTGTTGAGGATCGAACCCAGGGCCTTGCACGTTCTGGGTGAGCACTCTACTGCTGAGCCACAACCCCAACCCCACATCAATATTTAAAAAAAAAAAAGAAGAAGAAGAAGAAAAGAAATTCCAAGAGCCATCCTCCTCAGCTTAGTCCACTTTAGGATGGAGGTCTCACCAATGCTGCGGGCAGGATGAATGGTCCAATAGATGTCCAGGCAGGTAGCTTGATTCTTCATGCGTCGGTGGCATGTACAGCCCATCAGAGAGCTGTTCCTGAGTTTCTCTGCTGCCTCTAGGCAGTCTGCAGGGAAAGAAGACCCCTCTAAGGGCAATGGGGTGCTTAGACTAGAGGTGCAAGAACCCAGGTGGTGGTAGGCAGCCTTGCAAGTGGGATCAGCCTGGCACTTCCTCCTGGCCTGGATACAACTGTTCTTGAACCGGCTCTCTGTGGGAAGGGAGTCTCCTGTGGAGAGATCAGATGAGGGTCACATATGATCAGAGTAGCTGTCTAGAAGTATTAAGCCAATTGTGAGGTAGGATTGGTGAGATTCCTGATGAAACCTTGAGAAAATCTTAGGGTAGCACAAATTGCCTTTAGGAATGATGTGGAGAGAAAGAAGTCCCACAGAACCTCCTTTACATCCTAAATTCAATTAAAAAAAAAAAGTCCCATTAACTCCCCAACATATGTGGAATCTGTCTACTTTTTTATTTAGGTTTGGTTTGCCCCTGCCTGTTCTGTTCAGTTTTGCTATCGCCTGCCCATCATTCATCTACTGATTCATGCATAAAAGCTCTCCATACTCTTGAGTCTTGGAAAAGTATGGTGATATTTCTTTTTTACTTTTTTTCATGTCTGTCTCTTTAGCCAGACCTCCTTACTGGTCTCACTGATTTCATCTTCCAAACTCATTCCTTCACACAATCTTAATATCTTTATTTTTTATATTTATTTTTTTTTTAGTTATAGGTGGACACAATGTCTTTATTTTACTTTATGTGGTGCTGAGGATCGAACCCAGTGCCTCACACATGCTAGGCACGCACTCTACCTCTGAGCCACAACCCCAGCCCCTTAATATCTTTTTAAATAAAAATTTTTAATTGGAAAGCTTTTTATTGAGGTAAAATTCACACAAAATTAAGTTTCTTAAAGTACACAACTAAGTGGCATTTAGAATATTCACAATGTTATTGAACTATCACTTCTAATTCCAATACATTTTCATTCATCCCAAAAGGAAACAACATACCCATTAAACAAGCACTCGTTATTTCACTCTTCTCTCCATCAGCCTCTGGGAACCAGTAGTCTCCTTTCTGTTTCTATGGATTTACCTATCCTATATATTTCTTTTTTCTTTTTTAAAAAATGTTTTTTAGCTGTAAATGGATCTTTTATTTAATTTATTTATTTATATATGGTGCTGAGGATTGATCCCAGGGCCTCACACATGCTAGGCAAGTGTTCTACCACTGAGCCACAACTCCAGCCCTATCCTATATATTTTATTGAAAGAGTATTACTCAATTTTGCTTGATCTTTTATCTTTTATTTTTTTGTGTGGGGGGGTGGTATCAGGGATTGAACTCAGGGGATACTCAACCACTGAGCCACAACTCCAGTCCTTTTCTGTATTTTATCTAGAGAGAGTCTTACTGAGTTATTTAGCACCTTGCTTTTGCTGAGGCTGGCTTTGAACTCATGATCCTCCTGCCTCATCCTCCAATTACAGGTGTGAGCCACTGTGTCTGGCTTGATCTTTATTTTTGGTACTGGGTATTGAACCCAGGGTGCTTTACCACTGAGCTGTATCCCCAGCCCTTTTGAGACAGAGTCTTACTAAATTTTGAGACAGAGTCTTACTAAATTGCTAAAAGTTGGTCTCAAAATTATGATCCTTCCTCCTCAGCCTTCCAAATGCTGGGGTTATAGGTGTGCACATCAGTGCCTGGCTAACACATTTGATCTTTAATATCTGGCTTTTCTCACCTAGCATATTAGTGTGTTTTTTTTTTTGGGGGGGGGGCGTTCCAGGGATTGAATTTAGAGGCATTCACTGGACAACTGATTCACATCCTTAGCCCTATTTTGTATTTTATTTAGAGACAGGGTCTCACTGAGTTGTTTGGGGCCTAACTAAATTGCTGAGGCTGGCTTTGAACTCATGATCTTCCTGTCTCAGCCTCCCAAGCCACTGGGGTATAACAGGCGAGCACCACTGTGCCCGGTTTAGCATATTGTTTCTGAGGTCCATCCATAGTTTGTGTCAATGCTTCATTCATTTTTATGGATGACTATTTCATTGCATGGGTATGCCACATTTTTTTTGTCCATTCATTAATTGATGGGCATTTGTTTCCATCCTTTGTTTATTGTGACTGCTTCTTTGGTTATATGTAACTGGTATCATTCATATACAAGCATTTGTTTGAACACCTGTTTTCAATTTGTTTGGATATCTACCTAGGAGTAGAGCTGCTGGGTCATACAGTAATTTTCTGTTTAACTTTCTGGGGATCTGCCAGACTGGATCTGCCAGTAGTCATAAACATTTTACATTCCCACTAGCAATATATGAAGAGCCTAGCTTCTATACTTACTTGACAACTCTCATTATTTTCCACTTTTTAAAATTATGGCCATCCTTATGGGTATGAAGTGTTATCTCACTGTGTTTTTAATTTGCATTTCCCTAATAACTAAGGATATTGAGCATATTTTTATGTTCTTATTATCCATTTGTACATTTTGTTTAGTAATATGCTTTCTTTTCTTCATCACTGGGATTGAACTCAGGAGTGTTCTATCTCTGAGCTATATCCCCAAATATTTTTAATTTTACTTTAAGACAGGGTCTAAGTTAGCCAGTTTGGCCTCAAACTTGTGATCCTTCTGCCTTAGCCTTCTAAGTAGCTGGGATTATAGGTATGTGCCATTGTGCTAGGCATTGGATTCTTTTGTTTGTAAAATTCACCTGTATAGGCAAGGATAGTAGTAAATAGTATAATTTCATTGTTGCATAGAATGCCATTATATAAGCATAATTCTAGTTTTTTTTGTGGGGGGGGGACGACTAGGGATTGGACCCAGGGGCACTGCACTTTAGCACTGAGCTACATCCACAGTTCTTTTTTTATTTTGAGACAGGGTCTCCTTAAATTGCTTAGGATGGTCTTGAACTTGTGATCCTCTTGCCTCAGCCTCCTGAGTTGCTGGGATTACAGGCATGGGCCACCATGCCTGGCTATATACTCTGATTTATAAGACCTTTATAAGACTTAATCCCTTTTTATTTTAAGACAGGTTCTCACTAGGTTGCATAGTCTTGCTAAATTCTTGAGGCTGGCTTCAAACCTATGATCCTCCTGTCTCAGCCTCCTGAGCCACCAGGAGGTACCACCATCGCCTGACTAATCAGTTTCTATTTTTTGTTTTTCAGTTTCTTGACATTTCTTTCACTTGCCTCATTCTAGTCTCAGCCTGGCCTGGGACAATTCACTTTCTGGACTTTAGTTTCTTTAACAGTAAAATGGGGAACTGAGCTGGGGATGTGGCTCAGTGGTAGAGTGCTTGCCTAGCATGCATGAAGCCCTGGGTTTGTTTCCCAGAAAATAAAAGTGAGAGAGATACTGGATTCTATCCTTTAATGGAAGGGATGAAAAAGAAATGATAGCTTTCTTTTAGGGATATATCAGAATTTCTAAAGGGACTACATAGTTTTAAAAAGCATATTTAAGCCTAATGCAGTGGTATGTGCCTATAGTCCTAGCCACACAGGAAGGAGAACAGGAGGATCACTTCAAGTGGGAGGGAGGGGAAAGAAAAAGAAAAAAAAAAAAAAGAGAAGCAAGAAGGGAGGGAGGGAGAATATAAAAAGCATATTTGGTAATTTTATATGTGCAAGATAAAAAAAAGTTTCAAATTTCAAAAAAATATTAGCCAGGGCTGGGGATGTGGCTCAAGCGGTAACACGCTCGCCTGGCATGCGTGGGGTGCTGGGTTCGATCCTCAGCACCACCACATAAAATAAAAAATAAAGATGTTGTGTCCACCGAAAACTGTAAAATAAATATTAAAAATTTCTCTCTCTCTCTCTCTCTCTTAAAAAAAAAAATATTAGCCAGCCATGGTAGAACAGAGATCCCAGAGATTTGGAAGGCTTGCAAGCTCAAGGTCAATCTTGGCAACTTAGTGTTGAGCCCATCTCAAAATAAAAAAATAAAAGGGCCATGTACTGTGGTTCATGCCTCTAATCCCAGTGGCTTAGGAGGCTGAGGCAGAAGAATTGCAAGTCCAAAGTCAGCCTCAGCAACTTAGTAAGGCCCTAAGAAACTTAGTGAGACCCTGTCTCAAAAGAAAAGGGCTGGAATGTGGCTCAGTGTTCAAGTACCCCAGGTTCAATCCCGGTACCATAAAGTAAAATTAAAAGGGCTGGAAGTTGAAATTTAAGTATGAGATTTTAAAACCTTAACCAAAAAGGGGACATGGATTTAAATAGGTTGAGAAATTCTAAAACTTTAAGATGCTACTCTAGGGCTGGGGTTGTGGCTCAGCATTAGAGCGCTCACCTTGCACGTGTGGGGCCCTGGGTTCAATCCTTAGCACCACATAAAAATAAACAAAATAGAGGTATTGTGTCCAACTACAACTAAAATATATATATTTAAAAGAAAAAAGATGCTACTCCAGGTATGTACTCAGTAAAAGGTCACTGAAAGAAATAGCAGGTTCAAGTCATTGTGTTACTGGAATAAGTGAATATTTATCTGAACTTAAATATTGAATCACAACCATTTTCAAAAAAAAAACCTCTCTAACTTTATTCTTTTTTGGGGGGTACTGGGGATTGACCCCAGGGGAAATTGCTGAGACTGGCTTTGAACCTGCAATCTCTCTGCCTTAGCCTCCTGAGCTGCTGAAATTACAGGCATGTACCACCGCACTCAGCCCCCCAAATATTTTTTTAAATTTTTTTGTAGTTGTGGATAGACAGAATGCCTTATTTTGTTTATTTTTATGTGGTGCTAAGGATCGAACCTAGTCCCTCACACATGCAAGGCAAATGCTCTGCCACTGAGCTATAGCCCCAACCCCCTCCCCCAGCTATTTTTAAATTTGAGACAGGGTTTTGGTCTTCTTAAAGTCGTGACTAGTGGTCAACATTTAAAAACCAGAAGATTTCACATAAAACTATGGACTCCCAATTTCTCTTCAAATATAAAACACTGTGGGCCTACATGCCCACAATATAACAAATGGAGTTGTGTGATGACTGCCTCCTTTCAGCAAGTCATGTGCTATTCAATTTGTCACAGTCCCTACATTCTCTATCACACCTTCACTACCTCCTCCTTTATGCTACCACTGCTATGTCTATTTCTCACTTAGTCAGCAGCTTGACCTCCTGAGTTTTTCTTGGTTCATCAGAGAATGAGTAGTAGCAAATGAAGAAGATAAGTCTATGCACAAGATCCTCATTTGTTTTTCTCCATAGAAAAGAAGAGAGGCCCATAGCTTGGGCACCCATTTTATGGATGAATAAACAAGAAAAGTACGATGCATTAAGAGATATAGCAAGCTAAGACCAGATTGAGGTTAGAATCAAGAAGTCCTAGCTCCAACCTATTTTAGAATGATTTTCAGTACATGATGCTACTTTCCTGGGTGTTAGTTGTCTCCTTTATGCTTGGCTCTACTGGGGCCCAAGCAGTGGTATTTTTTACCTAATTGTTAAAACCAGCAATTGGTCTGGGCAGCACTTGACCCTACATAGCAGCTCCTGGATGATTGTGTTAAGGATTTTCAACAAAGCCACTTAATCAGAAATCACTGCTATCAAATACTATAAAATATGGATCTGCCAGCTATACTGCTTCCCTGAATTAGTTAATGAGGAAGGTGTTTAGTGTTTATCCCTGATCCTGACACAAAGCCATACATTAGAGTTAGTGAAATTTCCTAGGCAGTTAATTCAAATTGGTGATGTCTTGCTCCCCAGATTTGCTGATTGAACCAGTCTTGACAAACCAGTCTTTTCCCTCCTTCCTTCCTTAACTGTCTCACAGCCAAGATTGTATTTCTATAGTCCCACAATGTGAAAGGTGATGGGAAATGTGTGTGGCCTCTGCCTTGGGATTCTCTTCACTCAGGTTCTGGTAGGAGCCCCAGAATGACAGTCCATGTACCTAATCCCATTCCCCAAGGCCATGAGGCATTTTTCTAGGCATGCTGGAGCCTAGACTGCTCTTCTTCAGGGGAATGGCGTGGTGCTAAAGCCAGGCTGTGGCTTGTAGGAAAAGATCATCTGGCTCAACAAGGCGTCTTCTGCACCAATTGAAAAAGTAAACATTTAACCTGGCTTGATGGACCAAGTCTATAATCCCAGAGACTCTGGAGGCTGAGACAGGAGGACTTCAAGTTTGAAACCAGTCTCAGGAACTTAGCAAGGCTCTAAGCAACTTGCCAAACCTTGTCTCAAATTTTTTAAAAATTAAAAAGGGGGCGGTGCTTGGGGTGTGACTTAGTGGGTAAATCCTCTAGGTTCAATCTCTGGTTTAAAAAAAACAGTAATAATAATAATTAAGTATATGGTATGGTGGAGTTGGGTAGTTTTCAAATTCTCAACACACAACCAAATGATGATGTTAGCAAGTTCTGGCCAGCTTACAACCTCAAAGGGCGTGAAGAGAAGTTGAAGGCCGCTTAGAGGAAATGGCAGTCCAGCCCATGATCAGATTCTTCTTGCTTCCTAGAGATGCTGTCTTATAGTAGACTGGCTGCAGGTTATTTTATAATTGTGTAGATGAGTCACAAAAGAGAGAAGGGGGAGAACAAGGAGCAAGGAGATGCTTGTTTATCCAGCTCAATGCTGGCACTCAATCTATATGAGTTCAGCCACAGTATTAGGCATGGTATTAAGGGCCCTCTGGTCTTCCTCCAGTTTCCCAGACTCCAGAACTGACACAGACACGGGACCTGGAGGCAGCTGCACCCACTGTGTCCCGCCTACATGCTCACCTCCACCTGCCCCTCCCTGCAGCACCGGCGGGTTCCAGCTGCACCTACCCACAGACTACACTCACCAGCTCCAAGGGGCAGCAACATCAGCAGCAGCAGCAAGACCACCGGCGACAGCCGCCGGCTGGGGGAGCGCACCATGGCGGGGTGTGGGTGCCAGGTGTCCGCCTCCGAGGGCGCTCTGCCTGCGCCGGGCACCGCTGTCTCCTGGTTCCTAGAGCTTGAGTTCAGAAAGCGGGACTCCCTCGGTCCGCGCCTCCCACCGCCGCCTCCCGCCCCTCCTCGCGGGCGGCGCCGGCACTCTCCCCACCAGGGTCCGGGGCGCCGCCCTCCAACTTCGAAGCGCGAGTCCACACCCCTCCGCCTCTTCTACTGGACCGAGAAGACAGAGGCGGGAGAGGTTTGGGTGCCCAAGAGGGTGCTCCACCCGAATCTGCCCACCTACTAACAACTTCGCTTAGCAAGACTGTGGAAGCTGCCGCTGGAGACTCTTCTCCCAGGTTAATATTTCTTCCCCCATAAAAGCACCCTTTCTCACTTTCCCAACCCCGCCTCTTCACCTCAGGAACATCAGCAATCGCCAGAGAGGAAATCTTGTAACAAAATTTGAACAAACAAGGGTACCTGAGTTTCTAGTATTTTTTTCTCTGAGAATGTGCACATCTGTTATCTCATTTGCCCCCTCAAGTATCTTCCAGAGTAAGATTCTATGGTGTTCATTAAAAGATGGGCCCCAGAAAGGTAAACGACTTTGCTGGGAGCATAACTGGGACGATTTCCCAAGAGCTTTACCTGACTAAACTGCTTCAAAATGCAGCTCCTCCACCCATCTTAGCTAAATAGCAGAGATTTCCTTGGACCAAACAAGATCACAGAAGAAGGTGATTGGAGAGACCATTCAGAAGCCCCATTATTTTCAGATGATGAGTTTCAGAGAGGAAGCTCCACTGCCAGGATTAAACTAGGTAGAAACTCAGCTGTGCCCAGAATCCAGAATCTACCGGTAAAGGATAAGGCCTGGGCTTAATTCTCACCAGCTCCCAGAGTAAAGATAGAACCACATGGAAGAATAAGAGCTAACCAGTGCCCAGAAGAAAAAAGAGGATGATGAAAGAAAGTGTGTGGAGGTTCATCCCTTAACACTCCAACCTGGGCCCTATCCTTACTTCCACAGTCCACCTGGCAGAAGGCCAGGAGGGAGGCTATTGCAAAGTGCAATATAAACCTCTGAGATTGATTGGCTGCTGCTTCTGAACATGGCCATCCTGCTGTGGCCTCTGGGGGGCATTTGCCGATGTAATCAGCCCAGAAAGAGAGTCATTCTGGCCAGGGGTGTAAATCAACCTTCACAAAGCTAGGAAAGAGACATGTGGCCCTAGATAAGGAAGGAGACTGATGTGGCCTCTGTGCCCTTCCCTCCCTTCTCCTGCCCAGGGGGAGCTGGATCCTGAGCTGTAATGCACTTTAAATGGAGTTTGTGCTTCTTTTTAATCTATATCTGCCCTGCCAGTTTTACAGGAGAGTTGCGAAAATGAACATCTGGCTACCCGGCTATTGTACAGACCCTGTTTTCTCCCAGCTTTTCTGCCTCTGTGGAATTTTCCCAAGCCTCCAGTGTAGTTAGAAAACCTGTAGCACACACACAAAAAAAAAACAAGGGAGAGAATTAAATTACAGCAGATGGGATAGAGAGAGAAGATGGGAGGGGAGGGGAGGGGGGATAGTAGAGGATAGGAAAGGTAGCAGAATACAACAGTTACTAATATGGCATTATGTAAAAATGTGGATGTGTAACCGATGTGATTCTGCAATCTGTATACAGGGTAAAAATGGGAGTTCATAACCCACTTGAATCTAAAGTATGAAATATGATATGTCAAGAGCTATGTAATGTTTTGAACAACCAATAAAAAATTAAAAAAAATAAAATACACATTGCCTAATTAAAAAATAAATAAATTTTGAGCATGAAAAACCAACAAAAAAGAAAACCTGTAGCAGGGCTGCTCTTAGGCTCAACTTTCCACTCCACTCTGACAATAATTTCATAAGGAATTTACAAAGCAAAAGGAAATATTTTCAGGTGATTGGAATGCTAAAAAAAGGCCTAAGACCCATAAACCCACAAAGATGTGGAGTAGTCAAGGGATATCCCCTTCAGCAACCACATCAGGTCAAATTCAGAGTAGGAGAGTGCCTACTGCTTATCCAATGATGTCCTGAAGGAATGTAGGAACAGGGTCAAGCTGACAGGCTGAGAGCAATGTCCAATTTCACCTGTAAGAGATCAGCCTTTTTGATTAAATGAAGTCTGGGTACTAGGGTGAAAAGCCTAACATCATAGGTCCTTTAATGGGGACTAGTAACCAAGGCTAGGGGACGGTTGAAGAAGCCTCTGCAAATAAATATGACTCCAAGACTAATATTGACAGCCCTTCCAGCATATCCTCTCCCCACCAACCATGTGCTGCTGTGACTGCCAACACCTGCAGATAGAAAAAACACTGCCACTGGGAACCTTATGGATAACAAATGAGTCTTCTTCTACCAAGATATTAGCCATCATTCGACTCAATAATGTCTTTATGCTAGGTGCGAAATGGCACAAACCCTGCCCTGAGTGAGGCTTACAAACTAATTGGGACTCAAAGGTCCAAAGTACCTGTGTCTTACTGTACTTCCATTTGCAATGTTGATTTCCTCCTCTTATGGTCACAATTTATGGACTCTGCCTTCTCTCAAGTCCTCTGTCCTTGTTGGGCTTTAACTCCCACTGCTATCCTAAACTGGGTCTACAGCAGCCTAGTGAATAGTTAAGACAAAGTCTGTACCGATTGCCTGGGTAATCTCCAACCTGTGCTAGTGACCTTAAACAATCCCTTAATTTTTCTATGCTTCCATTTATTCATCTGTAAAATTAAGAATAATAGTATCTATTTCATGTAAAGATTATAAGAATTAAATGAGTATAGGGTTTAGCATAGTTCCTGTAACATTGCACTGAGTAAATGATGTCATCCCAGGTGGCATGTAGGAGTTAATTATTCTATGAAGTTGGCCAGCCCCCACCACTTTGACCTTCTGATTTAGAGCTGGAGGCTGCAGTATTTCTTCCTTTTTCTGAATGTGCAGGACAGAGTGCTTGTAGGGATGGGAACAAAGAGAATCATTTTCTTTTTTTTTTTTTTTTTTGAGAATCATTTTCTACCTTCTCTTAAAAGCAGGTATTGTATCACATTAGAATATCTGTGGTACTTAGAATTGACAGCTCCAAATATATGTCTAAAGGAACTGGTATTTCCTTAACATTTGCTTGAATTGAATGGGGAGAGAATATTCCATGCCTCCCACTTTATACTCCTGATAAAGTCAACCAGGTATGGGACTATGATTGATAACCAGTCAATTGTTAGGCCAAAAGATTTCTATGCTTTATTACTTGACCTCATGATGAGCAAATTCTAAGGGCACCAGTGAGAGCCAACTCCCTACATGCTGACATGCTGTTTTTCTGTTGTTGTTGGGATTAAACTCAGAGCTTTGCACATGCTAGGCAAGCCCTCTACCACTAAGCTGCTATACCCTGGCTCCCCACACTGTTCTTTGATGAGGATTTGGTAATAGCAAAATCCACGCATGAAGGGTACAGACTCTGGAACCATATTGTCTGGATTCAAATTCAATGTTACCATTAGCTTTTTTTATTTGCTGTACTGGGGTTCAAAACCCAGGGGCACTTTACTGCTACATTCCCAGTTCCTTTTATTTTTGAGACAGGGTCTCACTAAGTTGTAGAGACTGGCCTTAAACTTGCAATCTTCCTGCCTCAGCCTCTAGAGTTCCTGGTATTACAGTTTGTGGTCTTAAATTATTTAGTCTCAATTTCTTCTTCCTCTTCTTTTTTAAACAATGCCTTTATTTTTAAAAATTTTTATGTGGTGCTGAGGATTTAACCCAGGGCCTTGCATGTGCTAGGTGAGCACTGAACCGCTAAGCCACAACTCCAGCCCAGTCTCAACTTCATCTGCAATAAAGAAATGCACATAAAACAAAACAAAAATACAAATAATGAGTACTTGCCTCATGAGACTATTGTGAAAATATGTTTGTATGTATATGAGTCATATGCAGTCAGGCACCTAAAATGCAGTAGCTAATATTATTCCTGAAAATAACATGAATAAAATCACAGTCCCTATACAATACATATGGGAAAGCTGGGGATGCAGCTCAATGATAGGTCACTTGCCTAGCATGTATGAGGCCCCAATACTGAAAAAAAAATCATATAAAATGGGATGTAGTTCAATGTAGAACATCTGCTTGGCATAAGCCAAGGGTTCAATCCTCAGCACAATCACCCCCAAAAACAGATTACAAGAAATTATATGGGAAATTTTTGCCTTTTAGGAAAATATAATTTTTCATAGATAATCATGCCTTACTTTTTTGTTTTACTAATCAGAATTTCCACTTAAGATTACTGAAATGTAGGGCTGGGGATGTAGCTCTGCTCTAAGCTAAGGTACTTTGTCCTTACTTTGTGGTAGCGTGCTTGCCTGGCACACATGCAGCCCGGGTTCAATCCACAGCACCACATACAAACAAAGATGTTGTGTCTGCCGAAAAACTAAAAAATAAATATTAAAAAAATTCTCTCTTAAAAAAAAATTACTGAAATGTAAACACATGGACGCCAATTGCTTATCGGGTCAGGAATGGTTTTACCATTCTGGGAAAAATAATCAGGAAATGACATACCAATAAAGGCAGAGAATCCAGGACCACTAATCACACTTAGGAGAGGGGTGTTTCAACCAGTTGCTTCCACAGGTTACTAAGAACTGCTTGTGGGGGTGAGGACAAGGGCTCATGTGCAGGTGGAACAGAGTAGCAGCATCTTTCCCTCAGCTGTTTCCACTGAACTAAGTTCACACTCCCTTTGAGCTCTGAGCTCTAAACTTAGTGAGAAGGCCAGGGAGGTAACTTTCATCCTGACAGAGAAGCAGTAGCTAGCAGAGGAGGCTGCAGACTCCAGCTGGCTGTCTTGGAAAATACAGCAGTGCCCTCTGCTGTGAGGCACACAAGTGGCATTCTAGGGCAAGAACGTTTGGGAACCTTGAAAAAAAAAAAAAAAAAAATCAGTCCAGCAGCTCAGATATGAGGGGGTGGGTTGCCCAATGGCTACAATACTCCTTTCTCATTGGAGGAATAAAAAAAAAAAAAAAAAAAGTTGCCCTACTCTAGAACCCAGGAAGAATTTTTTTTTGGTTGGGGGGGGTCTCTATTCTGCTCTAAGCTAAGGTACTTTGTCCTTCCCTTGTCCTGGGCTTTTAATACTATTAGGTCAATGCAAGAGAATGATATATTCAGTGAATCCCTCAGTTATCTCAGGTCAAGTAAGGCTGTAACTCAACATACATACAGTCTACTCACTTTAAAGAGCTCTAAGAAAGGAAAATCTGGAATCAATGTTCTGAAGAATGCATTTTAAAAGGTCTTCCTTGGATCTAACTGATTTGATATACTATACTTTTATTCTCTTTTATTCCTTTCTTCATGTTAACACAGATCTCTACTCTTACCTCCCTGAATCCTAAACTTGCCTTATGAGATGTAAAATGGAAGAGAGATTATAGGAAATGGCAAAAGTCAAAATCCCATTATAAACAGGGAAATCTGAATCCAATTCAGATCTATCAGCTACCTTGGAGAATGCTAATCATCTTTTTTTTTTTTTTTTTTGTACAGGGGATTTAACCCAGAGACACTTAACCACTGAACTATATCCCCAGTCCTTTTCTGTATTTTATTTAGAGACAGAGTCTCACTGAGTTGCTGAGGCTGACTTTGAATTTGCAATCCTCCTGCCTCAGCTTCCAGAGCTGCTGGGATTACAGGTGTGCACCACTGCACCCAGCTTCATCTTGGCTTTCTGGGCCTAGAGATCACACGGTGCCAAGTCTGGGAACACTTTTAAGCAACTCATACCAGGGAATGGTCAAGGAAAGAAACACTTGGGATATTGCTAAGAATACAATTTAAAACATTTTCCTTAATTCCAGAGCAGTGGTTCTCATACTTAGCATATATCAAATCACTTGAAAAGGGAAATTTTTTAAAACCCAAATTTTGGAGCCCTAACCTCAGAGGTTCTGACAAAGTCTGAGGTGGGCCATGAAAAATTGCATTTCACAAAAATTCAGATAATGCTGATGGTCCAGAGTCCAAAGTTTTAGAACAAATTTTGAAGAAAACACTTTGGCCTCAGCTATGAATAAAAATGGCAACACTTTTATGTCTAAAGGAGGCCAATTTAGAATATTCTCGTGGTGCTAGAGATAGAACCCAGGGCTTTGTGACTGCTAGGCAAGCATTCAACCATTGAGCTGTATCCCTGTCCCCCTTAAAGAAGTCTAATTTGGTGATCATCTCCTTATATAAATTATCTAGGAGCATTCTGGGCTCACAACCCACTTCTCATTCTGCAATATTTACTTTCCCAGGAGGAAACAAAGAAAATACAAGAAAGAAGGTAGGCAGCTTTCTTGCATACCTATAAGCCCAGGGAGAGAAAGATCTTTCTGACTTGTAAGAAGAATGTAAGAGAGGCTGGGTTGTAGCTCAATGGTAGAGCACTTGTCTTGCATGCATGAGACCCTGGATTAGATCCTCAGCACCACATAAAAATAGACAAAGTTATTGTGTCCATTTACAACTAAAAAATAATTAAAAAAAAAAAAAAAAAGAAAGAATGTAAGAGTTCCCTGAAGAAACACAAATCTCAATGCAAGTCAAGACTAGACCTTTCTAGATCCAGCTTCAGGACTCAGCCACCAGCTAGCAAGCTCTACTTAAACCTAACCAATTCCCAAGCCTAGGATTTCATTAATGGAACAGCCTGTTGGTTTGCAGACTCCCCACCCACCGACACCCGCTACTGGGGATTGAACTCAGGGGCATTTGACTACTGAGCCACTACCCCAGCCCTGTTTTGTCTTTTATTTAGAGACAGGGTCTCACTGAGTTGCTTAGTGCCTTGCTTTTTGCTGAGGCTGGCTTTGAACTCACAATCCTCCGGCCTCAGCCTCCTGAGCCACTGGGATTATAGGCATGCACCACACCTGGCGGTTTGCAGGCATCTTTTTAACAATCTTGGGCTTAGCCATATAAAAGATAGTATGCAACCCTGAGGAGGAGGCTGTCTTTTGGTGACTCCTTCACTGCCATTTTTTTTTTTTTTTTTTTTTTTTTAGAGAGAGAGAGAGAATTTTAATATTTATTTTTTATTTTTCGGCAGACACAACATCTTTGTTTGTATGTGGTGCTGATCGAACCCGGGCTGCACGCATGCCAGGCAAGCGTGCTACCGCTTCAGCCACATCCCCAGCCCACTGCCATTTTTTTTTTTGGTATTGGGGATTGAACTCAGGGGCACATTACCACTGAGCTAAATCCCCAGCTTTTTAATTTTTGAGGCAGGGTTTCACTAAATGGCTTAGGTCCTTGCTAAGTTGCTGAGGCTGGCTTTGAACTCGCAATCCTCTTGCCTCCTCCTCCCAAGTTACTGGGATTACAGGTGTGCGCCACCACAAATGGCTCACTGCCATTTCTTTCTTTCTTTTCCAACATCCTCAGCCTTTTCCTGTATTTTATTTAGAGACAGGATCTCACTGAGTTGTTTAGTGCCTTGCTTTTTGCTGAGACTGGCTTTGAACTCATTATCCTCCTGACTCAGCCTCCTGAGCCACTGGGAATACAGGCACGTGCCCCTGCACCCGGCTTGCTGCCACTTCTTCATCCACTATCACAGGTCCATGTCCTTCAATAGGAGAGCAATCTGTTCCTTCAGTTGCCGCTTTCCTTCCTGAGCTTTCCTCTGGCTTTGACACCTCAGCAGCTCAGCCTGGTGGTCCTGGTGATGCATAGGGCAGTAGCTCTGGGGTTCACACAGCTCCTGAAAGGCAGAGAATAGAGTAAGGGATTCCCCAGATTCCTGAACTCTGCCTACTAAGTATAACAGAGATACTGCTGCTGGCTATGACTAAAAAGAAACAGAAGTTTTTTTCTCAGAGGCTTTACAGCCTCTGTGTGTTGCATGCTAGAGCTAACTTCCCTTAGTTTGCCTTCCACCCTGTGCCCTACCCTTTACCACATATTCTGGAAAGAAGTCTCTGTAGCCGCCTTTGAGAATATATAGCTCTGGATAGTACAAGGTAGGATAGTGGTTCAGAGCTCTGTCTTCTTCTCTCAGAGAGCGGCACCTTTAGGAAAAATCAAGAGATTGTAGGGGTGGGTAGGTTGGAAAGAAGCAAGGTCAGAATCCCCTGGGCATATATAACCATGAGTTCAATCCCCAACACCACACACACACAAAGTGAAACCTTCTGTGTTTGCAAAAACAAGGTCCAAATATCACCCCTCTTCTTCATTTCCTCTTCTGCAGTCTCATTTTCAATCCTTTTCCCTGTATTGCTTTTCTTTTGTGGCACTAGGGACTGAATCCAGAGCTCTACAATTGGGCTATATCCCAAGTTCTTGTTATTTTTTATTTTGAGACAGGGTCTTGCTAAGTTGCCAAGGCTAGCCTTGAACTTGAGATATTCCTGCCTCAGCCTCTCAAGCAGCTTCGATTATAGGAGTGTACCACTGTGACTGGCTTGCTCCATATTCGATTTTCAACCTTCCTAACATTCTTCAAATAGTATTGGAGAGCATCCAGTCAATCTCCATCTAAACTGGTGTGAGAAGTCCACCTCAAGATCCATCCATTTCTACATGGATGCCATGGAACATGCCTATAATCTCAGGGACTCAGGAGGGAGAGGCAGGAGGATCACAAATTCAAGGCATGATGGCATGACTCAGTGATACCCTATTTCTTTCTTTCTTTCTTTCATTCATTCATTCATTCATAAATAAATAAATAAATAGGGTTGGGGATATAGCTCCGTAGAGCACCCCTGGGTTCAATTCCCATTATTAGGGGAAAAAAAAAATCCATTTCTATTGCCCACCTTATCCCATGTAGACACTCACATTCTGGGGCCCCTCTCTGAGGAGAATTCACAGTGAAACACGATGATTATTCTTTTCTGGATGTCCAAGGGGACAATGGGTTTCTTCAGGAAGAAGTTATATAGTTCTTTCTGACTATATAAGTTTAAGGCTCCCTGTAGAGGATGAATTTTTTTTTTTTAAGAGAGAGAGAGAATTTTTTTAATATTTATTTTTTAGTTTTTGGCAGACACAACATCTTTGTTTGTATGTGGTGCTGAGGATCAAACCTGGGCCGCACGCATGCCAGGCGAGCGTGCTACCGCTTGAGCCACATCCCCAGCCCAAGGAGGAATTTTAATTAGTATTCCCTCCAGAGCCTGTGTAAAGTATCAATACTAGAAATGACTAGTATAGCATCCTGGGATACTTAGGTCAGAAAAAGTAGACAAAAAGAACTTTCAAATAGGGACCTTTGTGTATCTCTGTATCTACTCCAGGGCCTGGCTTAGAACTTGGTATGTAGTAGATTCTCAATAAATACGCATAGAACTGAATCACCTGGAGTGTAGGGATCATTGCAAGGAATGTCCATACACAGTGTTCAGTCTGTGGATAGAAGAGATCGGTTGAGAAGGGAAAAGAAAAGTAAGTTGCTCAAGGTATACAGAATTAAAATAGGAATGAGAATTTCAGCCTGGAAGTGTTCCAAATCTATAATCTCTGCTTTGGTTTTAAACTTCACAGGACTCTTTATCCACAGACTCCTTTTAAGAAAGTCCCATCTTTGCCAGGTATAGTGATGCACTCCTGTAATCCCAGTGACTTGGAAGGCTGAGACAGGAGGATCACAAGTTTGAGGCCAGCCTCAGCACCTTAGTAAGGCCCCAAGCAACTTAGAGACCCTGTCTCAAGAAAAATTAGGGCTGGGGTTGTAGCTCAGTGGTAAAGTGCTTGCCTACATGTTTGAGGCACTGGGTTCAATTCTGAGCACCACATATAAATAAATGAATAAAATAAAGATTAATCAACATCTAAAAAAATATTAAAATAAATAAAAATAAAAAAGGATGAGGATATGGTTCAGTGGTTAAGCACCCCTGCATTCAATTCCCCCCCAAAAGAAAGAAAGAAATTAAGTCCCATATCTAGCCCATCTCTGCTAATGTCCACAATGTAACCTTACCTGGATGTGTCCTCCCAGGTACTCATATGGATAGCGGCAATCAATGATATAAAACTTCTCAATCAGATCTTGGAACTTTCCAGACAGTAAGGCAGCCACCTACACAGAAACAATGATTGAATACCCTGCTCATTGCCCTCTGACAGAGAAGTGTCAATCACATTGCTCCTTATGTGCACGCTCCCATTAGTCACCCAGGATTCCACTATAATCAAGAGTCAACCCATATGTGCAATGTGGTGGTTCAGCCTAACCCCACATAAGATTATGAAATGGGGGCTGGGGATGTGGCTCAAGCTGTAGTGCACTCGCCTGGCATGCGTGCGGCCCAGGTTCGATCCTCAGCACCACAAACAAACAAAGATGTTGTGTCCGCCGAAAACTAAAAAATAAATATTAAAAAAAAAAAAAATTCCCTCTAAAAAAAAAAAAAAAAGATTATGAAATAGAAGTGGCATTTGTAAGGCTCTAAAATGGCTAGTATTGCCAGGACACCAAGGAAGACCTTACTGCAGCTACCCATTTAGAGGTAGGAGTAGCTGGAATTAGCTTCTTAGGAGATTTCAAAAGACTTCTACAGTAGCAGAGTTAGTAGCTAGAGATACCAGTTTTACAAGATATGGGGAAAAAAAATTCCCCACCTGCCTTTATTAAAAAAAAAAAAAAAAAAATGCATGCATAAGGCCCTGAGTTCAATCCTCAGAAAATAAAAATTTCAAAAGCAAGCCTTGGGATTGGGGATTTAGCCAGAGGCAGACTGCTTGCCTAGCACATGCATGGTCCTGGATTTGGTCCTTGGCCCTGAAAAAAAAAGAAGGGAAAAAAGAAGAAAAAAAAAAAGCAAGTCTTTCAGACATAGAAAAAAAGAATTCATACTTAGAGGTAGAAACTTAAGCTATTTATAGAGGTATAAATTGGTTCACAATGGAGAGAACACTGTGAATAAAAATTTCTCTTCCAACATTTTTTTTTGTTGAAGGGGGAGGGACTTGAACCTGGGGTGTTCTACTACTAGGCTTCATCCCCAACTCCTATTTTGAAATAGGGTGTAGTTGAGTTGCCCAGGCTGGCCTCAAATTTGTGATGCTTCTGACTGAGTCTCTTGAGTAGCTGGGATTACAGATGTGCACTATGATGCTTGGCTTCTAACATCTTAAGTAAACAGAAAAATACACAAAGATGTAGGCACAATTTGATATTAATACAACATTGTTTTACGTTATCAAAATATTAGAAATAAGTTAAATATTCAATAAGGGGTTGAGGTTATGGCTCAGTGGTAGAGCACTTGCCTAGCATGTATGAGGCCCTGGGTTCGATCCTCAGCTTCACATATAAATAAATAAAATAAAGGTATTGTGTTCAACTACCACTAAAAAATAAATATTTTAAAAAATATTCAATAAGGGGTTGGTTAAATAAGTTATATACATGTCAGTACAGCAGAATATTATATAGCAGTTAATATGATACTATATATATCTTTTTATTGATATAGAAATTTGTATATGCCAGGTGTGGTGGCATCCCAGCAATTTGGAAGGCTGAGGCCTGAGGATCACAAATTTGAGGGCAGCCTCAGCAACTGAGCAACCCTGTCTCAAAATAAAAAATAAAAAGGCATAGGGGCTGGGGATGTGGCTCAAGCGGTAGCGCGCTCGCCTGGCATGCGTGTGGCCCGGGTTCGATCCTCAGCACCACATACAAACAAAGATGTTGTGCCCGCTGAAAACTAAAAAATAAATATTAAAAAAAATCTTTAAAAAAAAAAAAAAAAAGGCATAGGGATGTATCTCAGTTGTAGAGCACCCCAATCCCCACTATCAAAAGAAAAGAAAGAGACAATTATGATGTCTTACTAATTCCAACACTTTTTTTTTTTTTTTTTGGTACTGGAATCAAATCCAGGGGTTTGTGCATAGTAGGCCAGAACTTACCATTGAGCTAGACCACCCAACCCTTTTAAAATTTTATATTGAGATAGGGTCCCACTAAGGGTCCCACTAAGTTGCCCAGGCTGGCCTTGAACTTGTGATCCTCCTGCCCTAGTCTCCCAAGTAGGTGGGATCTATAGGCATGTGCCATCATGCCTGGCATAATTCGCATTTTTATAAAACATACTATTATTAAATCTAGAAAATATCTCTAGTGGTTATATCTTTGCTGGTAAAACTATGAGTCAAGGGACCACATAATTATTGTACATACTGGGAAACTTTCTGAGAATAAAAGAGAACATGAGCTGGGTACAGTGGCCCATACCTGAAATCTCAGCTACTCAGTAGGCTGTGGCAAGAGGATCACATGTTCGAGGGCAGCCTGGCAGCTTAGTGAGACTTTATCTCAAAGTATAAAATTTAAAAAAGGACTGGGGATACAGCTCATGGTAGATCACCACTGGATTCAATTTCTAGTACTGGGGGTGGGGGTGGGAGGGAAGAGAACACTATTAATAATTATCCTAATAGATATAAAAGGGATTATAATATATAAAGACAAGGTTTATGTTTACTTTATCTGAGACCCTAGGTAAGTGGTATTTTTTTCCTTTTTGTGTTTGCATCCCTCCCTCCTTCCTTCCTGTTTTTTAAAAATACTTATGCATCATTTGTTTAAAACAAAAAATCAGAAAAATGGACAAAAAAGGGAGTACTTTAATATAGTTTCAGTTGAATAAGGAGCCTATGTGAATGAACACAATGAAAGAAATACAAATGGAAATGGGATTTTAGTAACAGAATGGACCAGATGGTAGCTTATGTAACCAACCAGTTACCATCTCCAGAAATCTGCTTACTGTTTCTGGGTTGATGTACTTCAGATCCTGGTGTCTCCCTGACACGACTGGCAGCACACATACCTAGAAATACCCAAAAGCTGAAATAACAGCAAGTATTCTCCAACCAAGCCTGAGATCAAAGACCCATATATTGTCCTCCTTTCAAAAGATTCTTAAAACCCCAAAGCTTTAAAAATCAATGGTCTCTATAACATGTATATGCAGCAATTCCTTTTCTTTTTTTTTTGGTGTAGGGAATTGAACCCAGATGGGCTTAACCACTGAGCTACATCCCCAGCCCTTTGTATTTTATTTTGGGACAAGGTGTCACTAAGTTGCTTAGGGCCTTGCTAAGTTGCTGATCCTCCTGCCTCAGCCTCCCAACTCACTGGAATTATAGAAGTGTGTAACTGTACCTATAATTTTATTTCTAAGAACTGATACCAAGGAACTAATGAAGGATGTGTATGAAGTTTTAGATTTCTTTACAAAACACACACTTCATTTATAAGGAAAAAATATAAAACTAAATAAAGCTAAATATCCCACAAGATGAAACTTATGAATAAATTATAATCAGCCAAAAAATTAAATAATGTATGCTATTCAAAATGATGAAAGGATGGATATGGGTGGTATATGCCTGTAATCCTAGTTACTTGGGAGGCTGAGGGTAGGATAGGTTACAGGCCAATGTCAGCAACTTAGCAAAACCCTTAACAATTTAGTGGAATCATGTCTTAAAAACAAAACCAAACCAAAAATCCAAAATGGCTGAGGATGAAAAAATGATGAAATAAAACTGTTTTGTGGACATGAAAAGATGTTCCTAACATAATTTTTTTCTTTTTTGGCAGTACTGGGATCAAACCCGTACTGCATGCTAGATAAGTGCTCTACCACTGATCTATATCTTTAGCCCCATTATATAATATAAAATTGGGGATGAAAGCCCAATAGATTACAAAATAGCATAAGAAATTTTTGTAGAAAAACAAAAAATGTATTTGTTATTTGTGTAATTATACTGAAAAAAAATCTATGGGAACATACATCACATAATAACTATTCTGATTTATAATGTTTAGAACAAGTTTCTTCATTTTCTACTTTTTCAGAATTGGCCAAGTATTATTAATATAATTTTTAAAAAGATTTTTAACAATAAGAAGATAAAAAGTGTCGGGGGGAGCATGGGACGATTAGATGAACTCTAGATAGAGCAAAAGGGAGGGAGGGTAAGGGAGGGGGCATGGGGATAGGAAAGACGGTGAAATGAGATGGACATCATTACCCTAAGTACATGTATAAAGACATGAATGGTGTGACTCTACTTTGAGTACAACCAGAGATATGAAAAATTGTGCTCTATATGTATAATATGAATTGTAATGCATTCTACTGTCATATATAACAAATTAGAATTAAAAAAAAAGATAAAAAGTATCATACTTTCCCCACTGTTCTGGATTTTCCTAGATAAATAAGAAATACTTTCTCTCTGGAAAGGCATAAGACTAAGATCTACCTGCACATACCTTCAAGTTTACAAAGAGTACTTTGTGACCATGTAAAATTATACCTGACATCTTCTGAAAACAGAAGAAAAAGATTAAAATCCAAAGCAACTCACTAAAATACAGGAAGAGGCTGACGATGCAACTCAGTGGTAGTATGCTTGCCAAGCATGCATAAGGAAAAAAAAGAAACCTGTACAAACACACCCCCACATACACACATAAATGATGAATATAACCAAACTCACCTTGGAAAAATCACCAATCAGAGGCCTCTGGTTATAATCTTCTTCCAGGACCTGAGTGATATTAGTGTCACAGAAAGAGACCTCCTTCTTTAAACATAAACCCTGAAATGACAAGATTTCCACTCATTCCTCCAATCTTCATGTTCAAGGTTTAATTTTTTTTTTTTTTAATATTTCATGTTTGGACACAATGCCTTTATTTTTTATTTTTATGTGGTGCTGAGGATCGAACCCAGTGCCCCACACATGCTAGGCGAGTGCTCTACCACTGAGCCATAACCCCAGCCCCCATGTTCAAGGTTTAAAACCAGAAGATGGAAGCCAGGTGCAGTGGTGCACACCTATAATCCCAGTGACTCAGGAGGCTGAAGCTGGAGGAGTATAAATTCGAGGCTAGCCCTGGAAATTTAATAAAACCCTGTCTCAAAAAGGTTCAGGAATGTAGGTAGCTCAGTGGTAGAGTGCCTCTGGACTCAATCCCTAGTACTGCAAAAATAAATAAATAAATAAAATAAAAATAAAAATACACACACATAAAAGCTCTTGAGGAAGGGGAGATTAGAGTCTCATTAACAATATGCATACCCTTTGATCTAATACTTTCACTGGCTTCCCCAAGGAAATAACAATATGTATAAAGACTTGGCTATAAGAATGGATCATCCTGGCATGTTTATAACAGAGTACAATTACTATCCAATTAAATATTCAATAACAGGGTTTATAATAATAATAAAAAGTATATTGTGGATTAATTTTGCACGCATAGAAATAAATTTATGATTAAAAACATAAATTTACATATTTTCTAACTTTACTTAGAAAATATGTAGTTTGTAATTCCACTTTTTTTTTTTTTTTGGCAGCACTATTTCTGGCCTGTGGGATTATAGGTATTTTACTTTGACTTCTCTTTGCTTATTTGTATTTTTTTCTTTCTTTTTCTTTTTTTTAAAGTACTGGGGATTGAACCTAGTGGTGCTTTACCACTGAGCAACATCTCCAGTCCTTTTGATTTTGAGACAGAGTCTTGCTAAATTGCCCAAGCTGGCCTCAAATTTGTATCTTCCTGCCTCAGTCTCTGACTGCTGGGATGACAGGCATGTATCAAGGTGCCCAGTCTCTTATATCATATTGAATTTATAAAATGATGAAAAATTTAGAATTTTTTTAAAAACAGGATAGGGAACAAGGACTAGGTTTTTCTGAAGTTTCTTTCTACCACACCAATCTGCAATCTGCCACATGATGTTGTTTCTGCCAGACTGCATGTAAAACAGCAATAAGTATCCATACCAACCCAAGTTCCCTTGAATTCTCTCAGATCTTTAAAAAAAGAGGGTTGGAAGATAATATGATGACATCATTTCTAAAAGTATAATGTAACAGATATTTATTTTCAAATATTTTATAAATGGTTGCAGTTATAGAAAAGAAAAAAATGAAGAGAGAAAAAAGTAATGAGGATGAATTCAAAAAAGGCATACTAATGCAATGCCAAAGCTTGAAAAGCAGAGAAGATAATTAGATAAAAGATCGTTATTTTAGCTTCCTGAGCTCTTGCTGGTCAGAACAATATTTTTTTTTCACTTATCTGGTATTTAGTTGTCTTTAACTTTTACTACCTGCCTTATTCTTGCCCTGTTCAAATTCTCTGGCATTGAGGGTGAGTGATACTGGCACCTTCTGGTTCAGTGATGCCTATTTGAGAAAGAATATCAGATCCCTTAGTTCTTATTTCTCAAGGTGTGTCTGGAGACCAGTAGCATCAAAATTTCCTGGAAGCTTGTTTGGAATGCAGAATTTCAGATGCACCCCAGATCTACTTAATTAAATTAAAATCTGCATTTTTAACAAGATGCCCAGATGATTTCTAAGAACACTTTGAACATGTGAACCTCCTACCTCAGCCTCTCGAGTCACTGGGATTATAGGTGTGTGCCACTGTACCCGGCAATTTAGTGAGTATATTCTTGGAATTGAGTTAAAATTAACTAAAAAGTCCTTGGAAAATTTCTCAAAAATTAAGAAACTATTTTTTTCTTTCTTTCTTTTTTGCAGTTCTGGAGATTAAAACCAGGAGCACTTTACTACTGAGCTATGAGCTACATCCCCAGCTCTTTTTATTCATTATTTTGAGACAGAGCCTAGCTAAGTTGCTGAGGCTGGCCTTGAACTTGCAATCCTCTTGCTAAAATGGTATTAAAGTAATATTATAAAGAACTTTACACCAATATATTTGACTATGTAAATGAAGTAGACAAATTCCTTAAAAGACAATAACAACCAAATTCACTCAATCAAAAAAAAGATATGCTGAATAGTTCCATATTTATATAAAAAATTGAATTTGTTGCAAACATTCTCACAAAGAAATGCTCAGGTGACTTTACTAGTGAATTGTACCAAACATTTAAAAAAGAAACTCTTCTAGGAAACTGAAAAAAATTCTTTTCAAACGGTTTACTGATGGTAGCATTATACTGATACTAACACCAAAAGATATTACAAGAAAAACAAAACACTGAAGAGAAATAAAGCTCATGAACATAAGTACAAAAATTCTCAATGAAATTTTAGCAAATCAGGCCAGGTGCAGTGGCACATGTCTGTAATCCCAGCAGAGAGATTACTTGGTAGGCTGAAATAGGAGGTTACAAGTTCAAGAAGAGCCTCAGCAACTTATCGTGACCCTAACTTAAATCCCCAGTACAAAAAAAAAAAAAAAGTACAAATCCCTATTCTTAACTAAATAAATATAAAAAGAATAATATATCATATATCATAACTTAGTAAAGTTATCACAAGAATCCAAAGTTTTTTTTTTGTTGTTGTTATATTTTGCAGTATGGGGATGCAATCTAGGGTCTCATGCAGGCTAGGCTAGTGTTCTATCACTGAATTACATGTCCAGCCCTTTTTAAATTTTATTTCGATATTTATTCATTTAACTCTAGATAGAAACTTAGGTCATTTCCTATCGTGAGCTGTTATAAATCAAGTTTCTATAAACTTAGTTGTACATGTCTTTGGTGGACATATGCACTCATTTTCCCCTGGCTTATCATCCAGAATGAATTTCAGGGTCATAAAATGCTTAGGTATAGGAGTACTGTCAGTTTTCCAAAGCAACTGCACCAGTTAAAAAACTCAAGGGGCTGGGGATGTGGCTCAAGCGGTAGCGGGCTTGCCTGGCATGTGTGCGGCCCAGGTTCGATCCTCAGCACCACATACAAACAAAAAGATGTTGTGTCCGCTGAAAACTAAAAAATAAATATTAAAAACTCTCTCTTTAAAAAAAAAAAAAAAAAACTCAACAGCAGGGCTGTGGTTCAGCAGTGGTGTACTTGGGTTCAATTTTCTGCACCACATATAAATAAATAAAACAAAGGTCTATCTATCAACAACTAAAACATATATTTAAAAATATTTTAAAAACAACAGCAATAATATGAGGATTCAAGTTGCCCCTTGCACCTTTTCCTCAACATGCTTGTTTTCAATACCCCAGCAAGTGTATAGTGATATATCACTGTGTTGTTAAATTGCATTTCCCTAATGACCATAGGTCTAATAACCATGTTTCTCTTTTTTAAAAATATTTATTTTTTTAATATTTATTTTTTAGCTTTAGGTGGACACAATATCTTCATTTTATTTTTATGTGGTGCTGAGGATTGAATCCAGGGACTCCCACGTGCAAATGCTCTACTGCTGAGCCACAAACTCAGCCCCTGTTTTCCCTCTTTTATGAAGCACCTTTCAAAGTTTTTTTTTTTTGGTCCCTTTTTAAAAATGTGTTCTTTAGATTCAATTATTTCTTGGTGTCCATTCTATTGAGAGCCACAGCCAAAGGGGCCCCAGCAAACTTTCAGACTGCCAGCTGATGATTGGCTCACAGCAGCCCCAGCAACATCTAGCTGATTGGCTCCTCTGCGGTGATGCTCATTGGGCTGTTTCCCTGCCCTTTCAGGCCACGGGAGCTGCTCATTGGGGGACTTTTTTGGCTCCGCCCACACGACCCAGCCAATCAGCCTCAAGAGCAGGAGGATTGTGGGAGGTAGAGAGGCTGGTGGTTGTGGGAGAGGCTTGTGGGAAGGCTGTGGTGGCAGTTGGGCTCTGAGGGTTTTTCCTGAGGAGCTGTTTTGTTTGGCTTGTGTGGTTGTAAAAATAAAGTTAGTTTCTTTTGACAAGTGGCTCCTGAATTGTGCCCAGCCAGACTGCGCCATCCGTATACAAATCCTTTAATGGATAATGCATTTCAAACATCTTGCATTCTATGGCTCCTGTTTCCTCTATTTATGGTATCTTAATAAATAAATAATTTTTATTTTGAGACAGGGTCTCATTAAGTTGTCTAGACTGACCTCAAACTTGTAATCCTCTTGCCTCAATCTCCCAAAGAACTGAGACTATATAGCACTCTGCACCAGGCTTGCAAGATTTTTGTTTTTTTGTGGTGCTGGAGATTGAACCCAGGGCCTAAGTGCATGCAAGGCAAGCACTCTACCAGCTGAGTTATTTTCCCATCCCACAAGATTGTTTTAATCTTTGAATATCAAGCAATGTAATTCATAATATTAACAGATTAAAAGGAAACTCATGTTTGTCTCAATAGTCACAGAGAAAGCCTTTGACAAAATCTAAATACCTGTTCCTGCTAAAAATCTCTCAGCAAATTAGGAATACAAAGAGACATCCTCAACCTGATGAAGGGAATCTCAAGAAACCTATAGTAAACATCATATTCAATATATAAAATTTAATGCGCGCTGGGGTTATGGCTCAGCATTAGAGTGCTCGCTTAGCACGTTTGAGGCCCTGGGTTCAATCCTCAGCACCACATAAAAATAAATAAATAAAATAAGGGTATTGTGTAAACTACAACTAAAAAATATTAAAAAAACATTTTTTTAAATGCTTTTCTCCTAAGATCAAATACAAGGCAAGGGGTTCTCAATAATTTTTAAGACTGTAAAGGAGTGGGGGGAGAAAAAAAAATTGAAAGGGAGTCCCAAAACCAAAAAACTTGAGAACTATTAATCTAGAAGAAGGGAAAATTAATACAGGAAATAAAAATAAAGTAAGAGTAGAAAGATGCTTCCAACAGCCTCAAGCATTTCTGTATTCTTTGCAATGACTTAAAAAGACCTACATGACCTGTCCTCCTGCTAATTTTATCTTGCCCACATTTTCTACCATTCTCCACTTGTTCACTTTGCTCCAGTCACACTGATCTTACTATTATTCCCAAATGTGCCAAGCTCAGGTATATAGAGTGTAGAGTGCACTTGCTTTTTCTTCTGGCTGAAACAACTCACTCCCATACTCACCCTGTTTTTGTTTGTTTGGCTCCCTTGCTCCTTCAGGTGTCTGCTCAAATGTCACTCTTACGAGGTCTTTTCTGATCTAACATACTGAAAAATCAACTCTAGCCCTACCCAACCCCAATCAAGATACTCCTATTTTTTTTTGAACCAAGGATGGAATCCAGCAGTGGTTTACCACTGAGCCACATCTCTAGCCCTTTTTTTTTTTACATTTTATTTAGAGACAGAGTCTCACTGAGTTGCCTAGGGCCTTGCTAAGTTGCTGAGCCTAGCTTTGAACTCGCGATCCTCCTGCCACTGGGATTACAGGCAGGTGCCACCATGCCTGGCTCAGATACTCCTCTTTGCCTGCTTTACCATCAGAGTATTTTTAGCATCTGCCATTTTATACATGTTTATTTGTTTCCTCTTGTCTAGAATGTAAGCTCCATGAGAGTAGCATTCTATTGTGTTGGTGTGCTCCTTACTGTATCCTCCAAAAATAGAATGAATAGGATGTGGTATGAAGGGAGAGCTTTAGATAGGAGCAGGGATATCTGTAGAATAGCAGATTATGTAAGTATCAAAGCAGATAATTTGTTATATTTGGCAAGAAAAGAAGGTAGTTTTCTTCCAATTGCTTCTGTTTTCTCTTTGAATCAAAACCTATCAAACTTGGGGCCGGGGTTGTAGCTCAGTGGTAGAGTGCTTGCCCGACATGTGTGAGGTTCTGGGTTCGATCCTCAGCACCACATAAAACTAAATAAACAAAATAAAGGTATTGTGTCCATCTACAACTAAAAATATTTAAAAAAAAAAAAAAAACTGTCAAACTTAACATGTTTAAAGTTATATTTAATCTCCTCCTTCTTGCACAGCCTGCATCCAACCTATTAAATTCTGTTGAGTCTATCCTCCAAAATATATTCTGAATTCATCCATTTCTCTGCCTCTATAGCCTCTACCTTAGTTCAGGCTATTGCCATTTTTTTTTAAATAGTTTTAGTTTTAGATGGGCACAATTCTTTTATTGTTTATTTAGTTTTTTTATGTGGTGCTGGGGATTAAACCCAGGGCCTCACACATGCTAGGCAAGCACTCTACCACTGAGCTACAACCTCAGCCCCTGCTAATTCTTTTTGTTTTATTGAGATGGGATCTCACTGTGTTGGTCAGGCTGGTCTTGAATTCATGGGTTCAGGTGATCCTCCTGCCTCAGCCTCTCATTAGCTGGAACTAACACCACCACACCTAGCTTACCACCAACTCTTGCCAGGACTATAGCAAAGCTTCCTTCTCTTACTATTTCCAACTTAATTTTTTACCCATTATTCCCAATCTAGCATTGAGAATGGTCTTCATAAAACAAAAATCAGAGCATATTATATTCCTGCTTAATACCGCCCCCAATAGTGTCCAACTGTACTTAGAATAAAATCTAAACATTCACCATGGTCTAAAAAGCCCTTTATGTCCTGCCTCCTGACTACCTCTTTTTTCCCAACTCATGCAAATCTCCCCTCACTCACATTGGCTTCTCATGTCCTTGAGAACCCAAAGAACTTTTCAACACTGGGAACTTTCTACATGCCACATACCCTTATCAAGCTACACTCTTTCTTCTACTTGTCATGTATGTTACCCTTCAGAACTAGGGTAACCAACTTTATCTCAGTTTGTCTAGGACTTTCCCAGCTTTATCATATAAGATCCCACATTCTAGGAACAGTTTAGTTCACCACCCTATTCTTAACTAAATATCCCTGCTGTGAAAATAAAATTTCCCTTAGTTTCTATTATTTTATGATTATTAGGGAGGGTTACAGGAGATTGAACCCACAGTTACAGGAGATTGAACCCACTGATCTACACCCCCAGCCCTTTTTATTTCTTATTTGAGACAGGGTCTTGCTACATTGCTGAAACTTTCCTCGAACTTAAGATCTTCCTGCCTCAGTCTCCAAAGTCACGTGTCTTAAGATTATATCTTCTTGATCTCTGCAGCCCTAACATTTAGTACAATGACTGCAAAATATTAGGCATACAATGTTGTTTATGCAAAAAAGAATGAAGCCAGGCATGGTGATGCACACCTGTAATCCCAGCAACTCAGGAAGCAGAGGCAAGAGGATCCCAAGTTCAAAGCCAGCCTCAAGAAGTGAAGCCCAAAGCAACTTAGAAAGACCCTCTGGGGGGAAAAAAGAGAGAGTGTGAGAGAGTATGTGCATGCGCGCACGCGAGTGCTGGAGGATGTGACTCAGTAATTTAGCACTCCCAGGTTCAATCCCTGGTACCAAAAAAAAAAAAAAAAAAGAGAAAGAATGAAGAGCTGGGTATGTTGGCACAGGCCTGTAATCCAGACAACTCAAGAGGGTGAGGCAGAAGAATCATGGTTCAAGGCCTGCCTCAGCAACTTAGCATGACCCTATCTCAAAATAAAAAAATAAAAAGGGTTGGTTTTGTAGCTTTGTAGTGTGGTAAAGCACCCCTGGATTCAATCTTCAGTACCAAAAAAGAATGAAGAAACACAAATATATCATCAGGGAGCAGCATACCTCAGTGCCTTCTTGATCTTCTAGGGAAAATTCCATCAACACATTTGAAATCTCTTCTACCTGGTCTTCAAGTTTTGGAATTTTATCCAATGTTGGAACTGTAGTAATGGGACTGCCCAAATATTTCATTTCACTTTCTGCAAACTTCCCATTGTCCTGTCAAGGATAACAACAATATTAAAACCTATTTAGGACCTTTACCTTACACCATATAAAAAATTTACTGATCCATTTGTGGTGGTGTACACCTGTAATTCCAGTGACTTGGGATACTGAGACAGGAGGATCATAAGTATAAAGCCAGCCTGGACAACTTAGATAGAACCTGTCTCAAAACATAAAAAGTGCTGTAGATAAAGCTCAATGATAGAGCATCCCTTGGTCAATCCCAGTATAAAAAAGTAAGTAAGTAAAAGATTTTATGCATTGAAGGACATTATCTTTATTTAAAGGATGTACATTTTGTTAATTTTTTTTTTTTTGGGGGGGGGGGGGGGTAAGACTTAAACTCAGAGCCTGGGAATACTAGGCAAACATTCTATCACTGAGCTACACCCCCAGTCCAAAGGATATTATTAAAAGACAATTTCAAAGAAGACATATACATAGCCTGACAGCATACCAAAAGATACTCAACATATTTAGCAGAGAAATCAAAATGAAAATCACAAGGAGATACCACTTTATACCCATTAAAATGAGTATTATAAGGACAATAGGTGCTTATGCACTACAGGTAGGAATGGAAAGTGGTATAGTCACTATGAATAGTATGGCAGTTCTTCAAAAAACTAAATATATCCAGGTGCAGTGGTACATGCCTGTAAATCCAGTGGCTTGGGAGGCTAAGGCAGGAGGATCACAAGTTTGAGGCCAGCCTTAGCAACTTAGCAAGGACTAAGCAACTTAATGAGACCCTGTCTCAAAAAAAAAAAAAGGGCTGGGGATGTAGCTCATTGGTTAAGCGCTCCTGGGTTTAATCCCCAGTATCAAAAAAAAAAAAAAAAGAATAAGGTACTGTCACCAGGCATGGTCCTTCAGTCATTCATGCCTGTAACCCAGTACTTGGGAGGCTGAGGTAGGAGTGATTGAGCCCAGGAGTTCAAACTCGGCCTGGGAAACACAGCAAGCCCTATCTCAAAGAAAGGAAAGAAAAGAAGCCAATCATGGTGGTGCATAACAACTGAGGTAGAAGGGTCCCAAGTTTGAGGTCAGCCTGGGCAATGTGGCGAGACCTTTAGCAACTTAGCGAGACCCAATCCCAAAATAAAAACATTAAAAGGATTGAGGTTGTAGCTTGATGGTAAAATGCCCCTAGTTCAATACCCAATAATAATAAAAAAAAAAAAATTTAATAAAATGATTGAAGGAAATATAGCTCTTTCCTCTCTCTGTTCAAACTTTACTTGTCCACCCCTGTCTCACACAGCCAGATTAAAAAAAGTCAAGGGTCACAAATCTGCTATCCTATAGCTCATAATACCCCAACCTACCCATAATGATGATATTCAATGACTCACTAGCACAGAAGGGGAAGACATGTAAGGACCTCCTGATCTTTTTTGAAACCTCAGGTTCCTGGGTGTCTGCCACTCCAAGGCCTTAAAAGTGTTTTTATCCTGCATAAGAAAAACTATGTTGGCGGGAGGAAGAGACATATTAATTGGGCCCTGCCAAAAACATTTTGTCTAATCAAACTATGAATAACCCTCATGAAACACATCAAATGTAATCATTAAATGTATACCCTGAAGATGCAAATAATGGTTTGAATTTGATGTCTGGCACCTAGATTTACTTGTAGGATATTAATTTTATCATCACAAACAAAAGAATTGAGGAGTTGGGGAGAACCTGCTTGGGAAGAAGATGGTAAGATTTCAAAAAGTGTTTATAAGGACAGGCATGGTAGGCACACACCTGTAATCCCAGCAACTTGGGAGACTGACACAGAGGACATTAAGTTCAAGGCTAGTCTGGGCAACTCTGCAAGATCTGTCTCAAAAAAAAGTTTTAAAAAAAGTCTGAGTGTAAAACTCAGTATTATAGTGCTTGCCTAGCACATGTAAGGCCCTGAGTTCAGTCTCCAGCACATTGCAGGGAAAAACTGATTATAAACTAGGCCTGGTGGCATACACCTATAGTACCAGCTAATCGAGAGACTGAGGCCCAAGAATCATTAAATCAGTATTAAATCAATAAAAATCTGAATAGAACAGCCAAAAACATGAACATATCTTTGTCAGAGTAACAAAACAACAACTATCTTTTATGCACAGTGACCCTGGGAGAAGGGATGGAAGGTAGTTTTTAAAAAAAAAAAAAAAAAAAAGGAGGGCTGGGGATGTGGCTCAAGCGGTAGCTCGCTCGCCTGGCATGTGTGCGGCCCGGGGTTCGATCCTCAGCACCGCATACAAACAAAGATGTTGTGTCCGCCGAAAAAAAACTAAAAAATAAATATTAAAAAATTCTCTCTCTCTCTCTAAAAAAAAAAAAAAAAAAGGGGAAGGAGATTAATTACACAATTATCTTAGTGACTAGGTATCTAGGATAGGAAAATTTCAACATGGATCTGAAATATGGTCAAAGGCTTAGACAGAAAAAACCATGACTTCTTCAGAATAGGGACTAAAGGGATATAGCTAGTGATACAACATGCTATTAGCATAGTTCAGTCCTTAGCATTATCAATCCTTAGCACTAAAAATAAAGTGGTTGGGTGCAGTACCCTCATTTGTAATCTCAGCTACTTGGGAGTCTGAGGTAGGAAGATCACAGTTTGAGGTTACCTGGACAATTTAGGGAGATCTGGTCTCAAAATAAAAGAATTTTAGAGTTCTTGCCTAGCATAGCAAACCCCTAGGTTCAATTCTCAATCCACAAATTAGAAAATAATAATGATGATGATGGAGCCAGGTGCAGTGGCACAAACCTGTAATCTCATAGACTCAGGAGACCAAGGCAGAATTGTAAGTTTGAGGCCAGTCTCAGCAACTTAGACTCTGTCTCAAAATAAAAAATAAATAAATGGACTGGGGATGTAACTCAGTGGTAAAGAACCCCTGGGTTCAATCCCAGTACCAAGTAAATAAATATCTATACAAATAAATAAAACTCCATGTAAAGAATCTTTGAGGGCTGGGGTTGTAGCTCAGTGTTAGAGCACTTGCCTGGCACATGTGAGGCACTGGGTTCAATCCTCAGCACCATATAGAAATAAATAAATAAAATAAAGGTATTCTGTCTATCTACAACTAAAAAATATTTAAAAAAAGAAAAGAATCTTTGAACGAGTTATGCATGTTATCACTATCAAAGTTTTTCTTTTTTAAGACAGGGTCTTACTGAGTTGCTGAGACTGGCCTCACACTTATAGTCCTCCTGTTTCAGTTATATGAGTAGCTGATATTGCAAACATTCACCCCCATACCCAGCTTAAGAAATAAATTCTTTATACAATGGTAACAACAATGTTTGTCCTTAATGTAATCAACTGAATATGAGTAATCAAGAACTCCTGCTATGGAGGATTTGGATTTAGGATTCTTGTTTTAACAGGGGAAAAAAAAAAAAAATATTACAAAGATTTTTCTTCACCTATGGTGATATAATTTGCTTGTCTAGCATACTGAGATATAAATAGCTATAGGTCTCCCAAAACCAGTAAGTCGCTTCTCTCAAAGGAATAAAATAATAATATAGAGCTGGGAAAGGTGGTGAATGCCTGTCTCAGCTAATCTGGAGACTGAGACAGGAGAATCCCAAATTCAAGGACAGTCTCAACAATGTTGTAAGACCCTGCCCAAAATTAAAAATTAAAAAAAGGGCTGGTGATGTAGCTTAGTAGTAAAGCACACACCTAGGTTCAATCCCTAGTATCATAATGATAATAATAATGAATAAATATAGAATAATGTAACTATATTTCCATTAAATACTCACATTTTCTTTATTTGCAGTTAAACTATGCATTGCATCTTTCTTTTTGTGGCCATGGTCCAAAGCATTGGGAGTGCTACAAAGCAGCTGTGCCTAAAAGACATTTTTTGCTGAGAACATCCAGCATCCTTGAGCCATGAGTTAATTTGAAACCCTCTGCATCCCCCCCAAGAAGCAAACCCAAACCCAAACCAAGAAGAGATACTCACTGGGCTGCCTTTCATAGCATACTGGTGGTGATTCCTGCATATTAAAGCAAACAACTAGGTAAGCCCCAAACACCTCAAATTCTCTAATTATTCAATGGGTTGAGGCATCCAAATTTTTCCTTCCTTTCTTCCAACTAGCCCTAGTCCTAGCAGATAAATCTCTTCCTATAACAATATATATTCTCTGTGGTAAATAGTAAGACCCAAGGGAAAAGGCTCTCATTTCATGGGCATAACTACATCTAAAGAGGTGTACCAAAGATGCACAAGTTTATCTTACCTTTATTTCCTCCTCTCTTTTTTCTTTTCCTGAGGTATGGGGATCAAACCCAGGGACTTGCACATGCTAGGCAAGTGCTCTGCCCCAGTGAGAAGTGCTATTATTACTTCCATGTTTTGTATAAAGAAACTGGGGTCCATTGAAATTAAGAAAGTTGTCCATTATAGCTGGTAATATTGCAATCTACTAGAATCCAGACACTCTCATTCTAGACCCTGTAACTTGTACTTTTAATCACTAAGACTTACACTTTTCACATGTAAATAGAAGCCAACTCATAAGCACAAGTACCATTTTCCTTTATTTTTGAAAGATAATTCTGACTCAGCTCAGGGTATAGCTCAGTGGTGGAGCACTTGTCTACCACTTGGCCCTGAGTTCAATCCCCAGGAGGGGGGGGGGGGGGGGGAGATAATTCTGATTATGTGTGATGGTTAAAATGAATAGCCTTCATTTAACACAACTATTTAGATCTAGAAAACTTAAAAGTTGTTCAAGTCCAGCATTTAGGTCTTGAAGCCTACTTATACCCAAAGTGAAATTCATACTATGTGGAATCTGCATGAGATAAAATCCCTATGAACAGTGCTGTAAGATTTTAAGCATGGGGTTCATTTAGCAACAGAACTTACATCCTAGCTAACTGTACTTCCTGAGGCCCTGAAGAATCCAAGTGACCTGAAATCAAATATGAAGAATCAGTAAGAGGCATTATTCTTGCCCATGCATCCTGTTTTCCCCTCTGATTTTCTTTGTTACCAGTATGCCACATTAATTTCAAAGGCTAAACTCTAGAACACAAAGCTCTTAACTGGTACCCATCTTATGGAACAAAATACCAGAGTACAAAATACAATTTCATGGAAACTTAAAAATTTACATGTACTACTCAAAGAAAAAATACTAGGAAAGCTGGGAGAGCTGTGGCACACACCAGTAATCCCTGCAGCTCGGGAGGCTGAGGCAGAAGAATCACAAGTTCAAGTCCAGCCTCAGCAACTTAGCAAGACCTTGACCAAAAAACCAAAAAAGGGGCTGTAGCTGTAACTCAGTGGCAGAGCACTTGCCTAGCATGCATGAGGCACTGGGTTCGATCCCCAGCACCACATAAAAATAAATGAAATAAAGGCATTCTGTCCATCTACAAATATAAAAACTTTAAAAAACAAACAAAACAAAACAGAAAACCTCGGAAATAGTGATGGAGTTTTTTTTATTCATGAGTAGAAAAGAAAGGTTATTATGCAGGAAATCCAAAATTAGAGGAAATGCTAGAATGGTTGAGTAATGAAACATTTTTTGGGGTACAGACCTATAGAAGTGTAAGAATTAACTGACAAAGTGTTTATTTATGCTGATTCCTTTGCCTCTGATGAAATTAAACTAAGAAACAAAAGTTTTCTGGACTTTCTTTTGTACCATTAATCTGTCAATAAAATATATTTCCTTTTATCTAACTTTTTCAAATGTAGAATGTTATTGTTTTTATTAGTGTTCCTATTAGTGTTATTCTTTTTCTTTTCTCATTGGCTTCATTAATCACCTCAAATTCTCTAATTAAGCTTGGCATGGTAACACACGCCTATAATCCCAGCTACACAGGAGGCTAAGGCAGAAGGATTGCAAATTTGAAGCCAGACCAGGCAACTTAGTGAGGCCCTGCCTTAAAATAAAGCAAAAAGGGCTGGGGATGTTGCTTGGTCTCTGCAGATGTACCCAGAGGCATTCAAAGTGCAGTCTTATTAAAAAAAAAAAAAAAATCCTTGCCAGGTGGGATTACTCCTGTAATCCCAGCAACTCAGGAGGCTGACTCAGGCAGATTACAACTTCAAAACCAGCCTCAGTAACTTAGCAAGGCCCTAAGCAACTTAGTGAGGCCCTGTCTCAAAATAAAAACTAAAAAGCACTAAGGGCATTGCTCAGTGGTTAAGCACCCCAGAGTTGAATTCCTGGTACTTCCTGGTACCAAAAAAAAAAAAAAAAAAATCCTCTAATTACTCTCAAAATTCCAATTCTTCAGGTAGATTCTCTACCTACTTTCAGCATCTTCCATTTCTATCATACTTCCCTGTCTTCTCCCTTAAGTTATTCTTCCCTTTGAGGCCTTTACCTCCGTTTTCCCTACCAGTTTCATCAAGGTCTGCAGAAGTGGTAAGGTAAGTGGCAGACATCTCCCCACTGCTAAAATTCGTAAGATCAAGGCAACGTTTTGGAGTTCCTCTGTTGAGACATAATAGTACATCAAGATTCCCATTAGGTTGTAATATCTTGAAAGGCAAAGATCCTTCATTTGAAATACCTCTCAACGACCATCACAAAAATATAAAAAGTATCTAATTGCTTTCTAGAAATATCAGACTTCATTAAGAAAAATCTCTCAATTTTTCTCTACTCCATCATGTGCCTCATTTTCTCTTCACCAAGATATTGAGACAGGACTTAAAAACAAAAAATTAATGAGGCCCAAAGTTTATTAACTGAGTGAAATCTTGAATCCATATCCTCTACCCAGTTTATGATGAATACACAGATTTGATTTTTCCCTCAGTCTCTAATACTTTTCAAATACTTCTCCTTATTTGGTAGTGAGGCATAAAAACATCATGACCAGTTTTTGGTTTTTTTGTTTTGTTTTAGTTTTTGATGGTGCTAGGAATGGAACCCAGATGACCAGAATTTAAAGTACAAGAACAATAACATTAATATTAACGCTAATAAAGCAGCCAATTCATAACAGAATATTTTCAGACTTTACCCAGTCATTACATTATTTGATTTTCACAAGATCCTGTGAGAGGGGGCTGGGATACAGTTCAGCTGGTAGAATGTTTGCCTCGCATGCACAAAGCCCTGGGTTCAATTCACAACACCACAAAAAAAAAAAAAAAAAAAGAACAAGATCCTAGTGAGACAGTTTTACACAGAAAAGCAGCCTGAGATTCAAAAGGGTCAAAAGGGTCACAGAGTCAACAGTGGAGCTGGGACCTAAATCCTGATCTTTGAGCTAGGATAATTAAACAAACAAGCCTGTTTGTAAAGCAAAGGAGATAAGGTATAAAAATAAAAGTGGGTTTACCCAGACAAAATGCTTAGATTTGCAGAATCGCCAAGGAGTTTGTCCATTGGAGATCTAAGGAGACCTGGACAGATGGTAAAGGAAGAGTCTCTCTCCAGGAGCAGGTGTAACATCTTCCTCTGATTGGACCTAAAACTGGGTCCTGAGCGAGACCTTCCCTCTTCTTTTGAGGATGAAAAGAGTTCTGTAGACATGGTCTCTGAATCTTCACAAATGGGAGGAGAGTGGGGGACAAAACAAAACACCTTGCTAGGAGAACATCACAGACCATTCAGCTTTTCCAACACCCTCCACCCTATCCAGCCCAGTGGATTGGCAAAGGGGGATGGGAGGCTTTCCAAAGAGTGAATCACAACTCGGTTTTAAGTTTAAATCGCACTTGACGAGGCCTTTTTGTTGAAATTTTAATTTACCGAGGGGGCGCAATCTGAGGATTTTAAAGATGGGATGAAGAGAGGGCTTTGATTTGTTTGGGGCCACACAGCTTCACGCTTCTAACCGGAAGAAACTCGGGACTCCTAACTCGCGATAATGCCCATTCGGACCTCTGGCCTGAACAGACCCTACCGGAAGAAACAGGTCTCAGTGACCCTGTGGTAGAAACCGCTAGAGCTTACGTCGAGTCAGACTTACTTTCAGGAGAAAGGAAAGTGGGCAGTGACTGGATACAAGCGAAGATTCGAGAGAACGATAGGAAAATCTGAGGAAAACAGCCAGTAAACGGGACTACCTACGGTTCTGCTTCTCGCTCGACTCGATAGGATGAGGACAGGTTCTAGCAACTTCTCTCCGCAGCAGGGGGAGGTTTAGCTCGAGTAAATACCAACAGCCACAGGCTGGATCATTCAAATCTTCCGCCCACCCAGCAACCTATCCCGGCCCGTCTGTAAGTTGCGTCAGCCAATCTTCGCGCGCCTTCAAGACTCCACCCTTTCCATCACAGCCAATAGTTTTGCTCATCCATCACCCGGAGGCGTGAGCTTTCTCTGGAAGGGGCGATATTTGTCCCGCCCCAGAGCCATAGCAAGAAAGCAATTGGCCCACCAGCGTTCGCAAAGCTGCTAAGTAAGCTTTGCCTTGCTAGGAACTCAGCGCACCATTGGCTCTACCTCTGGCCAATCGCCACACCTTCCCCGTACTCACTATTCCCTAGACCCCGCCAACCCCGGGAGATTTAAATTGCGGCTCGCTAGCAATGACCTTTCGCTTTAGCTAATACTAGGAAAGATTAATTTGAGTGGAAGTGTTTATTTTTCCTTGCTTCTTTCTTGTATCGTTCCTCCTTGGTTTTACTAGCCTTCCGCTGAAGATGGAACATTTGCCGCCAGGGCGGCGGATGTTGGGGCGTGACAGGTGTGTTTATGTTGAGCGGCATTGGTTCTTTCCGAGAGAGCTTTCCTTGTTATCCGACTTTAGTGCACAGTATCTCAGAGATACTAGGTGGGTAGACAGAAAATCCTTTTTAGAGAAAGAAATTGAATCATCTCCTTTAATTCTTACCACAGCCCAAAGGACCTTAAATTTTGTCAGTTTATGAAAATTTAAATATTGACAAGGTAATATTTTGAAAAAATAGCTTACTTATTTATTTTGCGGTGGCAAGAATTGAACCTAGAGTACGCTTAGGAGAGCCCTGTATCAGTGAGCTCCACTCCCCAGCTCTGGAAATTCGTAATATTAGGGATTTACATTTAAACAATCCTGTTAGGGTTGGGGTAGGTATTGATGAGACAAAATTGGTCAGGAATGTTGGACGATGGTGTGGGTGGAGATGTCCATTATTTCAGTGCTTCTTAATATTTAATGTGTATACTAATCACCTGGGGATACTCTTAAGATGCAGATTCTGATTCAGTGGATCTGGATTTTAGCCCAAGGTTCTGCACTTCTAACAAGTTCCCAGCTGATGTTGATGTCTCTGGTCCCAGGACCATATTTTGAGTAGCAAGGCATTGTGTTATACTTTTTACTTCAGTGTATATTTGAAATTTTTCATAATTAAAAATTGTTTAAAACTCTTTAAAATGTAGACCCCTAAAATGAAGATTCAATAGGTATAGAGTGGGGCCCAGGAATTATCAAAGCCACTAGGTGCCACCCATGCAGATGGTTAGCAGACCACACTTTGAGGGAAAAAAAAAAAAAAAGTCAGAAATACAAACTTTAGCCAGGAGTGACGGCGTATACCTGTAATCCCAGCAATTCAGCATGCTAAGGCAGGAAAATGGCAAGTTCTTAGACCAGCCTCAACAACTTTAAAAAAACCTGTCTCAAAAAACAAATGTAGGGGCTGGGGCTGAGCAGTAGTGAGCTTGCCTGGCATGTGTGAGGCACTGGGTTCAATTCTCAGCACCATATATAAATAAATAAAATAAAGGTCCATCAACAACTAAAAAAAATCTTTAAATATTAAAAAGGGCTGGGATATAGCTTAGTGGCAAAGTGTCTGCCTTGCATTTGCAAAGCCCTGGGTTTGATCCCCAGTTGGAAGGAAGGAAGGAAGGAAGGAAGGCTCGCTCAGAGGTAAAGACCCCTGGGTTAAATCCCCACTATCAAAGAAAAAAATATATAAACTTCACCTGATGTCAGGATCTTAGTGTTAATAGTGGCTGAGAGGTGCAAACTAGTCAGCTGGTTTTTATCCGGATCCCTTTTCATCTGTAGAAATTGCTTCACCAGAAAAGAGGTGTGTGAAAAGTCTCTGTTCTCTAGAATAGAGATGGTAAGTGTGGCAGTCAGCACAGAGCCTTGTCATGCTAGGTAAGCTTGAAAATCAGGCTGGGGATTAAGGGAGTGTGGAATACATTGATTTCTGTCTTAATGACTATAATCACACTTTGTGGGTCACTGTATGCTTTCCTGCAGGTGGGAAGTAGAGACAGATGAAGTTGTCTTGCAGAGGAGGCAAAAGCAGATAGATTATGGCAAGTGCACACCTGGTTACCGGTGCTTTCTACAGCAGGTCCCCAAGTGAGTATAGTTGTGGGTGGTCACAAGAGTATCAACCAATGGTTCAATGTCAGGTGATAGAGAGATGAGAGAATCTGAGTGCTCTGACAATGTTGCGGTATTATTAATTCTCCTGAAATACATTCCCAAAATAGGTTTCTGAGATTTTTCTCAAATAGAAAATGTTGTACTTCGCCTATAAGGGCTTCTACAGCTTTATCCATGTTTCCTAATGAGGTTGTTTTCCTCCCTAAAATTTTGACCAACACCCCATGCCTCCAGCCAAGTTGGCTAATTGAAACATACTTGACAAATTATGTTTATATGTATGTATACCAAAAAATGTGAAAACAGAGGAGGTATATTATTTTAAAGATATGTCATATATTGTCTTGTATGTTAACTTCAGAGGAAGTTATATGTAATTTACCATTTTAGGAGAATATTAGGGAGGTGTGAAGTTTGGTGCTTATTCTGATTTGAAGATTTACTTTTTTGTTGGATTGAGGGTATTGCTTCTACATCTATCCTGGTAATTCTCTATCTAGACTCCTGATTTGTTATAATAAGCAGGGAGCTGTGTCCTTTCACTTTGACTTCCATCTGATCCATATTTATTGTTGCCAGGGCACAGAGACAGCCAGGGCTTCACCCTCAAACACCAGACAAGAACAGGAGATACAGCCGTCGTTCCTGGGATGCCCAGATCAGGCAATGGAGAAGAGCCCTACATACCTGGGACCCCCCCAGCCAGCCTCTACAGGGCAGGGGGGCTCAGGGGTATGTTCACTATTACTGGTTCTTTCTATGAGTGGAGGGCCACACCTTACTTCTCCTGACTTTGAAAAGGGTTAGATTCTACTGGGTAGAAAGGGAGAGTGGTCTGCAATGATGTATGATTTCTTACTCTGCTTCCTCCATAGGCAGGGAATGCAGAGCCCCTTAGAGCTGATGGATTCTACCCCTTTGGATAACCTTCTGGGTGACTGGGTCCAACCCTTGGAGAATCCAGATGGATGCAAGAAAGGGGCCCAGGTAGTATCCTATACCAAAAGTGAAAGGAGTGGGGTCAAAGATGGGGGTTTGACCCATGATGTCAGATGGGGTTTGAAGAAGTGGCCCAAGGACAAATAAAGGAAGTGAAGCAGGAAAAAAATAGCAGAACATGAGTGAAAAAACTAGAGAACTAAAAGTGGCATAAATAGATTTAATTATGGACAGGAGTATTAGGCTGCACTGGAAGGCTATTTTATTCTTGATGCAAGAGGATGTAACCTTCCTTTGAAGTGAGGCCTGAAAACTAACTTGCAGTGATGTGTGTGTTTTCTGTTTTTTCCAATGTTTTACAAATAGTAATGCCAACTTCTTTTACTCAACTATTCAAGTTTAGTAAACATGGTTCATAATAAAAAGGGGAACAATCTAGTAATGAAGAACAAGGACTACAGTCTCAGGCTTTTGGTTACAACCTTTACCTACCACATGGGCAGTAAACCCCTCAGGAGGTTTCATTTACCAAAATGAGATTTTTAAATTTTATTTACTTATTTTTATGTGGTGCTGAGGATTGAATCCAGTGTCTCACTCATGTTAGGCAAGTGCTCTACCACTAAGCTACAACCCCAGCCCCAAAATAAGATTTTTTTTTCATTTAGTGATTGTAAGAAAAAATGTGAATGCATATTTATTTAAAGTGTGTAGCACAGTGCCTAGCACATAATATGGGTAATTATAGGTAAATATATATTCCTACATTATGGCTCCTGCCTCTGCTCCTTCTCTTTGCCAAGGAGAAATGATATGCAGTGGAAAAAAAAATCTATCTACTCCCATTTTCTTAACTAATACCTCACTTTTCCTCTACTTTTGCAGTTTGCAGACTTGGTTTCTCTGTCCTCCCCTCCCAAGCTCAATGTTGAAGATCCCCAAGAATGATTCTGCTTTCTAGCCAATCACAGGATCACAGCTATTTACTTGTTCCAGACTTGAGTATGGCACAAAATGTTTAGAAAAAAACAGATGTCCTTCAGGGGGCTTGCTGTTAAATGTTAATAGTGAAGTTATTTACATTACTACTTTTTAACCAATTAAAAAATCTAAAACTCTGTCCTACAAAGAGATCACAACATGAAGGCATTAAAAACTCTCCCCCCTCCCTTTTTTTTTTTGGCTTATCTCACTGATGCTGACATTCAAATTTTCAAATTTACAGAAAAGCTAAAAACCCAGTCTCTCACCTACTTTCGTCTACATTCAGTCCCTTTAAAAAGGACACAAACTTTGGCTGAGGTGGGAGGTGGTGGTAGTGGCTGAGACTTAACAAAAAGGTGGTTTCCTTTTCCTGAAGAGGAAATATAGCGCCCGTCAACACCATCTGCTCGTTTCCTCGTTTCCTCCCTTTCTGTCTTAAAGAGAGTCGTCCAGCTGTTACCACCGTACTTCTCTCCCCCCCCCCCCCCGCCGCCCCGCAAGCAACTGAACCGCCTATGATGTCATAATCACAACCCCATTACCTCATCCTGCTGGGGGGGGGTGCGTAAAGGGAGGAGAGGAGGTGAACGGCCACGGGCCCTCCTCAGCTTTACAAAGTGTTTTGGGTGAGGATAAATTACAGAATCAAGTGAGCACATCTCCGCAACCATTGTTAACTCCTTGTTTATAAGGTTTGAGCCGATCCGGCTGCTGGAAGAGGGGCTCCAGGGACTCAGAGCAGGCCCTGATCGGCGCTTGGACTACATTTCCCAGCAGTCTTCACGCCACGGACCGGTCCTTTGCTGGGGGAAAGGGGATTCTTCCAGAAAGGAGACTGTATCCATCTAGGTGAGAAAACAGGTGAGAAGCAAGTCGCTAATTCTGTTAAGCGGCCCGAAGGTTGTGAGATTCTGCAGCTGACTAGATGTAGACCTGGAGGGCGAGAGCGACGGCTTTGTTTACTTTCGTCCGACATGGCCTCCCCTACGAGTTTCAAGATATGCTTCCAACTGGACCCTTCCACCTTCTGTGATATTTTGGAGGGGGGTTGACTTATTAGTGAGGAAACCGCCCCATCATTAAATCAAAGCCTCAGGCTCGTTCCCGACAGTGCTACACTAGGAAGATTTTAAGAGAGAAACGACACAGGGCTCTGGACTCCGCAGGAGGTTCAGGGGGATTCTGCGAGCGCGAGTGTTCCCCCACTCGCCTCAGAGGCCCGTTGGTTCACGCCGGCGCCTTTTAAGGGCACCGTGGGGCGAACCGAGCGCTCAGAGCTGCTCCGGCCGCGGCCCTGGGAGCTGGTGGAGCCGCGGTAGGTGGCGGAGGGCAGGTGGCGCTGGGGCCTCGGGGCGGGCACCTCGGCCGTCCCTCCTCCTTCCCTTGCTCCCCTCCCCCAGACCAGCCGTCCGCGCGGCCCGGCCTCACAGGCCGCCTCCGCGGGGTGAGCACGGGACCTGGTGGGGGAGGGGGTGTCGGAGTCTTAAGTCCCAGACCCTCCCCATCCCTAGTGTCCTGAGTTCGCTTCCCGCGGCCAGATGTTGGAACCCGAGTGGGAAGAGGCCAGCGACAGCCCCTACCTCTGAAAGAGCTTCCCCCCCCCCGTGGGGGGGGGGGGGGTTAGCGTACGCCCCCTGCCCCACCCCGCGGGGACAGTCAGGGCAACAGAGGGAGAGGTTGAAGATTGGAGGGGGCCTAGCCTTTTGCTTCTTCATCGGGGTGGGGGGAGGGGTGCTCCCCACTTGTCACCCCTATCCCCACAAGAACCATATGGAAAAAGAGCAGTCAGATCCCCGCTTACCTGTTCTTGTATCTCCCTTCCTCCCTCGTGTTTTCCTTCATTCTCCACCAGAGGCGAGGGGCTTGGACCTGGGGGGGGAAGATCCCCAGGGGATTTGTGACTCTCCTGTCCCTTGGCCTTACTTGATCCTAGGTTGTTCAGGTTTCCGCACAACCCAAGCATCCCTGAAGCACAAGTGTCAGGGGTTACTATTGACCAATAGCAGTGGAGTGGGGGTCTAATCTTTATTTTAGGGGGCTTGTGTTGGAAGAGCCTAGACTGTTAGGCCTGGTGGGGTTGCTGGAAGGGCCTAGCGGCCTGCTGGTCTGTAAAGGGCTGAGCCCCTTGCCAGTTAGGCTGAGAAGTTTTAAGTTTAGTGAACGTTCAGGGCTGTCTCTACCTCTTAGATACACAAAATGGAAGGGGTAGGAAGGCGACAAGAGAGGGCTTCTTAACACTTTTTTCAGTGCCTGCTTGAGAAAGAGGAGGCCCCTCGCGGAGCTGGTTTGCCTTCTTTTGTGTCCTGGTTTGATTCCTTATGGCTTCCGTTCCCCCTTTCAGCCTGGCCTGTTTTAGGAAACTCAGGTTGAGAGTATCAGTTGTGTGGTAGTAGTTGCATTGTTCCAGTTACCGCTGTGTGTGGCCACATCCCAATAATTAAAATGCAGAAAAACACAAAATCACTCACTTCACTTGATCCTAGAGAGGGTGGGAGTTTGCTGCTTGTTCAAAGCCCTCATGAAAAGCTTGAAAGAGTTTGCTTTACTCCGTGCTCCTCTTGACTGGTCAGCCTGAGGCCTGGGGTCTCTAGGGTAAAAGCCTGCAGTTAAGTTCCTCTCTGGTTGATCTTTGAGAGCAGAGTTAAGAAACCAGGAGCAGAAGTGATATGAGCTTTAGTTTCTCTCACAAGAACATGGGAGAAACAACTGAAAGGAGCTTGAAGGAAGCAGGAACTTTATTCAGGGTGGTAGTAATAATTATGCATGAAAATTATAGTTAACTATAATGATGATTGATTTCTGTGTCTTTCTTCCAAAGAACTCAAAATACATCCAAGTGTATTTCTTTGCTTTTCCTTGTGGCCTCCTTCTGAAGTGAGAATTGGGTAGGGATAATTCCCTCCTTTGTAGAGTGTGATCTGCCCCCAAGGTCACAGAAGGAAGTACTGCCTTAGGCTTCCTTCCTTGGTGAGCAGGTAAGGGAGGATGGCATCCAACCAGAGAGAGACCCTATTGCCTTCTTCATCTTAATGATACCATCACTTCTGGCATGCCAAGGCTTTGAAGAACAACAAACAGAAAGAATGAGAAACAGCAGTCTGTGTGGGCTCCTGATTTTTATAGGTCAGATGGTATGTTTTTGTATATTTTGATATATGATGTTATATCATTCCTATGAGAGATTAAGATTATTGTATCCATTTTACTTATGAGTAAACTGAAGAATGTGAAGTGATTGCCAAAACTGCCTCAGCTAATTTGATTAAGACAGATTTCTTGATTGTTACATGAGCTAATGCTACATACATTTTCAGGGGAGCTATCTCTGTGCTGGTCATTTCTGGTTCTCCCTGCCTCAAGACACTAGGTTAAGCTGGGCATGGTAGTACATTCCTGTAATCTCAGTGGTTTGAGAGGCTGAGACGGGAGGTTCGCAAATTCATGGCCAGCCTCAACAACTTAGAGAGATCGTATCTCAAAATAAAAAAGGCTGGGATATGGTTTAGTAGTAAAGTGCCCCTGGGTTAAATCTCTAGTAACAAACAGAAGAACCTGGGTTATCCTCCCCTTTTCCTTTGAGCAAGGCTCCTTAAGCAATTGTGTGGGCTTGAAGCCTGTTCTCTAGTAAGAGTGAGTTAGTTTCCCCATCAGAATTCAAACATGAGAAAGAATCTTGATTGATTATATTCATGGTCTTTTGCAGATATTCTAACAACTTAGTTGAATGAAGTCATGAAGTTTTTTTTTAATCTGTGTAGTTGAAATATAATTGGAATTATCCTGACCATTTATAGGAGAATACACAAAGATATCTATAAAATAATAATATATCAGTTGTTCAGGCTATGAGAGGACATAAAATCTTATTTACTCTGGTCTAAAGTAGAAAGTCATGCTTATAGCCATTGCCCCTCCTTGTATTCTATTTTGTAGTTTAGGAGAAGGTACCTTTCTTAGTTTCTGAGTGGAAGATAAATACTGGGCTAATCAGGATGGAAATAACCATTTGGGCTCTTTTCTAAGTGGTTCTGATATTCCAGATAGAAATGGCAGAGCATGAACCAGGATAGGAATGGTAAATAGGTTTCAACCTATTGCTTGAGAACTCCAGTTTATTTTACTAGATATCTGGAGTTCCACGTTCAGTATGTTTCTGAGGCTATGTTTAGGCTTATCAGGAGCAAGCTGTGATCAATTAATATTGTCTGCCAGAGGCTTGGCATAGTGGTGCTGTGGTATGTGTGCCATGCATTTTCCATCACTGGACCAGGTATATCTCTAATATCACTTGGGGCTGGTCCCTCTGTAATTGGCAGACTCAGCAGGCATGACTGGAGAGGGAAGTCCCAATGGTGCTAGAATGGTGCTGCAGTGGCAGAAGACGACTCACGAGTGAGGTCTGGAAGAACGACAGGGAAGACATCCATCATTTGCTCCAAAGTGTGCAAGTAAAATCCTGGGGAGAATCATGATAACCTTGATCACTGAGCAGCTACAGAAACAGACTCTGGATGAGCTGAAATGTACACGCTTCAGCATCAGTCTGGTAAAAGACCAGTCTTCCTGCTTCTCCATGGCCCCTCCCCCTTTTTTCTGAGGCTGTTTGTTGCTACTACTTTACCCTTGTCCTGTAGTGTATAATTATTGTACTTGTACTGAAAGAGGCCACTAATGGCTTAGAACCCAGCCCAAAAGGAAGGGGGCAGGGATTTTTCCATTGATAGAGAAGGGATATCAAAATTGGGTGGAAAAGGGTTTGAGAAATTAGAAGATGTGGATTGTTCTACTAAGTCTCTAACACCCCTATAGCAAATGAATTGCAGGAAAGAATTTAAGAGGGCTTTCTAGAAATTTGTCAGTGTGCCCTGAACCTAAATCATGATAGCTATTCTTTCTTTCTTAGCCTTTGCCTGATCATGCAGACATCTCCAACTGTGGGAACCCTTTCCAGCTTGTGTCTGGTA